GCATTTGTAAGTCCAAAAGACATGACATTGTATTCAAAATGTCCATACCTAGTTTGAAACACAGTCTTCTATTCATCTCCTTCTTTCATGCATATTAGATTGTATGTTCCTCAGAGATCTATTTTTGTATAGATCTTAGCTTGATTCAACTGATCAAGACGTCTAGATATTAAAAGAATTGAATACCTGTTCTTGATGGTAATCTTGTTGAGTCCTTGATAATGAACACACATCCACAATGATCTATCTTTTTTCTTCATAAAAAGAATTGGAGCTCCTATCAAAGATTTAAAATGGCGTATGAAATTCTTGGCTAGATTTTCTTCAATATACTCCTTGAGTTCAGTCAACTCATTTTGTGATAAATTGTAGATTGGTCCAAATGGCAATTGTGCTCCTTCTTGAAGGTCAATTGAACAATCATAGGAATGATGTTTTGGGAGTGTATGCACATTTTTTTTTTCAAATACATCTTGAAATTCTTGATATTGACTTGGAATGCCACGTGAAGTTTTTGCATCATTAAAAACGAGCGTGGCATAAATAATATATGGTGATTCTTTCATAGCAACATGCAAGAAAGCTTTTGTACCTATATATACAGATTTAATTGAACTGGACTTATGACTCTCTACTTGATTAACTACATTGGTAGTTATACTTTTAGAGAAAGTAAGAGTTTGAGAAATCCAATCTTTTTAAAGGTTGTATTTTTTTAACCACGATAAACCTAAAATGATTGGATTAGAGGGAGATCTAATGATATTAAATACTACAAAGCTATTATGACCATTAATTATTATTTCTATAGGAAAGATTTCATGAGTAATATCTCAAGAAGACAATGGACGACCATCTATGACTTCTACATGAACAGGTTTAATTTTCTTTACTAAAGATATGCTATGTCTTTTAATAAATTCTTTATCTAAATAATACACTGAGGCTTCTGAATCTAACAAGGCACAGACTTTATAATGTTTAGGTCCTAAAATGATATTTAATGTAAAAGAAAGAGAGGATTCTGAGGAGAGAATAGAACCTTTACTAGATGTTGTGCCAAGTTCCAGCCACACGGTCTCTATTGTAGCTAGACAAACTCGTTTTCTGACATATTGTCTTCTTTCACAACCATACTCCTCATTTTGTGGTTGCGTCGTTTCTTTGGACAATGTTGAATAGTGTGTTTTGATTCTCCACAATATAAACATAATCCTTCTTGACAACAATGAGTCTTTTCTTGTTCAATAAGAAGTTTGAAATGTATTGCATCAATTTGCATATCCTCTACTTCCGAATGTATGTGTTGAAGAGATATTGGTATTGCTATTAAATTATAGTTACGTTGAGGTGCACTTGTAAAATTCTCAAATTGAAATTTAAAAAGGTGATTGTCGCACTTCATAGCAAAATCAATTACTTGACTCAATGTTTGAGAATCAGGTAAGTTGAGTATTAATTTTTTTACCTCATATTGTAATCGACAGAGAAATTGACTAATAAGTGCAACATCATCCTACTTGATATCAATTGCAAGTTGTCAAAATTGTGAAGCATATAACGTTATTGATCGATTGTCTTGTCATAAAATATGGATCTTATTGGTTGCAACACGAATTGCATCATGTTCTCTATACATGGATCAAAATTCCGCCAAAAAAGCCTCTAGATTATCCAATATTGGATCTTGTCATTCAAGAAAAGATGAAAATCATGATAGTGGTGAACCTGAAAAAAGCATATCAATGAATCTAACTTGCGATCCTAAAGCTGGATAGCTTTGGGATTGAAGTTCAATCACAAGTTGCACTTGATTGATAAATCTTCAAAACTTAGATCTGGTGCCATCAAACTTCTCGAGTAGGGCAATTCTTGGCTCTCTAACACTAGAAGGGCATTCTACTATAGGAAAAAAGATATGATTTGGTGTAGATATTGAAGCAGCTCCAATCATTTCTATATCTTCACTTCTTGCCAATCTTAGTACTTCTTATGGTGGCAAATTGAGTTGATGCATCGCAAGCATTAACTCCCTCAATTGTTCTTACATTTGTGCCATTGCACACTTCATTTCAGCAAGTTGTCTCATGATAATACTTAGAAAAGAAAAGATGTCTAATATCACTCAAGACAAATAGAAGAGAGGACTTGAGAACAAAGAAAATACTAAAGACAATATCAGTTTAGAAGAGGGTAATCCGCGACTTCTAATATGCTTGTATCTTATCAAGAAAAAGGGATAATCCACTCTTAATCAAGATAAGACAAAGCTTTGATATTATAAGTGTACTCTTATCAATCTGTCAAGGACAAGAACTTGATGAAAAAGTGATTCAGACAAGTGAGCCTTTACTAAAAGAAAGATAAAAAAAATATAAATAAACAAGTATGTATATTGAAAGAGAAATTGGAATGGCTATTACCAAAGACTAAAAAATATGAAGACTCTTGAACCTAGACTAGAAACAAGAAAGAAGTTGACAAGAGTGAAGAAGGCTTCACTCTTGTCTCTATATATACTATCTAACTAGGAGCTATGTAGCAACCTTCTATAGGACCTTCAATATGTGTTGACTTTGTAGGACACATGCCTTGACTTACAAGGCAAATTTTTCTATGTGTGGGCCACATTGTTAGATTGGTCTTCAACCTAATAACATGTGTAGTACATGCCCAACTTGTTGACTACGTTTCTAATCCAAAAAGTCAATTAAAGACACCTATAAAGTCAAAGCAACGTATATTAAGCTTTTAGAAAGCTTCCATATCATATACTATAGAATTATCTTTCTTTTATCTACTTTTACTTACTTCTACCTATTTATATATGTAATTATTGGCTTACATGAGTATGTCCGTGATACAAACTTCAGAGAATTTGGAAGATTTAACCTAACTAGGTAAAATCTAGTTAAAATCTAAACTACAGTTAAAGATGTCTTATAAGATGAAAGAAGAAAATGACTACATATGGTATTGCTAACTAGGACATATAGGTCTACATATGACGATGATGTTGAATACAAAAAATATACCAGCCTTTGTAATCTAGAAATTATATTGTAAACACTTTTTGAAAGAAAAACAAACAAGAAATGCAATATCCAAAGATGGAGCTATTACATCAAGGAAATACTTGAGTTAATATATACCAACTTATGTGATCCTCTACCAATTGCATCCTTATCATATACAAAGTACTTTCTCCTCTTTATTAATGACTATTTTAGAAAAACTTGAATTAATTTTTTCAAAGAAAAGAAACAAACCTTTAGAAATCATAGAATTCAACGCAATGATAAAAAGACGAACGGAAAACTTATCAAAGGTTTCAAAATCAATAATAGAAGAGAATTTATATCACAAGACTTTTCCTAATATTGTACGAGAAATAGCATCATTTGATAATTCATATTACCTTATACACCACAACAAAATGAAGTAGTGAAAAGAAGAAATAGATTAATACTTGACAAAGCAAGATACATATTATTATTGAAGAGACTATCCATTTATCTGATGCCAGAAGGAGCAAAATTCACAATATATCTATTAAACAAGCTACCAACAAGGGCAAACAATCTCAATATGTCAATAGAAGAAATGTTCTTTTGGCAATAAACCAAAATTATGCCATTTGAAAACATTTGGATACTCATTTCATGTGCACATAGGACATTAATCAAGAAACAACCAATGGTGAAATTTACAGTCATCCATGTAGAGAATCGTCGACTTCTTTACAAAAAGAATAATAAAATTGATATGTCTATTTTTAGCTATACTCTACGAATAAAAATTGATAAATAGTCCATCATTAAAACTCATAATGATATATCATCAATTAAACAAGTACATTCTCTAAATCAAGAAATCAATTCTATTTAGCCATTATTAACTATTATAAGAAGAGGCAGACAAAGCATAGTGCCATGATGGATGAAAGACCACTTTGCAAGATTGATGACAATATCAAACTTAGAACCAACCACTTATCATGAAGCAATTATTTACTAAGGATGGAAATAAGCTATGATAGAAGAAATGAACTCAATATACAAAAATAAAACTTAGACCATTGCAAATCTATCTTCAAATAAATCTACTATATCAACTAAATGGATATATAAGGTGAAATTGAATACTAATGGCTCACTTCAAAAATACAAAGCTCAATTGATTGTAAGAAGCTTTGAACAAAAAAAAGGCATTGACTATGAAGAAACTTTTGTACTAATAATAAGATGGTCCACCATTAGAGCCATAATTTCAATTGCAGAACAAAATTATTGGACACTATACCATATGGACGTTAAAATTGAATTTCTTCATGAGGATTTAAAAGTAAAAGTATATATTACTTAGCCACAAGGGTTTGAAATTCTTTGAAAAAAAAATATGGTTTGGAAATTAAAATAAGCGACTCAAGCATGGTATGAAAAATACACTCTTATTTAAAAAAAAAGCAGGTTTTTAATAAGGAATAGGTGATTATAACTTATAGTTAAGATTATCTAATTATAAACTAATTCTAACTTCATTATATATTGATGACCTCCTTATGATTCATAGTTGCACAAAAAACATGACCAAATTTTAAAAAGAATTACATGATTGTTTCGAAATGTCTGCACTATCAAGAGGAGAAATTACACTCTATCTTAAAGCCGAATGCATTCAAATAAAAGAAGAAATTTTTATGAAACAAAAGGCCTATGCACACAATACATAAGTTATTTTTAACATAAAATATTATATACTTGTAATGACTTCAATGACAACCTAGAAGGCTCGAATCTACAAGCTCAGAACAACCTATTTTCAGTAGAACACAAAATGAATAGAGACAAAGAAAACTGAATTCAGGAATGCAAATAAACTTACCGGCGAACCTCGAGGGCACTCCACTTTCCGAGCCATCGGACCACTCCACGGACTCTTCGCCAATAGTTCGCATCTCAGAAAAGGAAATCCACGCAGAGCATAGAGAAGGCAGTAGCTCTGAAGTAAAACCGGGAATCTCAACCACGGGAGCGAGGGAGGGTGTTGAATACAGACCTCGGTTGATACTAAAGAACCTAGACATCAACATTTAAGATACAACAAAGCCCCCGATCCGATACCTATCGATCGTCGGTATTTTCTCTTGTACTTAACTCCCGAATTACTAATACAAACACACTTTGTGCTAACACCTGTAGTGGTGTCCCTTCCACAATCTCCTGAGTCTATTACAGGTACAGTGTCACTGTCGATTAGTAGAATTACTGTCAGCGATTGTCGTGCAGGAATAAAAGCAAAATAAGGAGTCAACAAGATCTGAAGTTAAACCTCTTCTACGTTGGCTCAACATCTACAAATACTATATCTGTCTCTTCAATGAAGAAACTATTTTCATCAATTATCTGCCCAACTCTGTCAAAGATGTCAACAACCTGCACTCCACTTTTCTAGGGTGGCAAAAATAAATGATTCATCCGACTCTTATTTCACTGAGCTCAAGTACAGCATCAGTGGAATTTTCTTTCTCAAAACGACTTCCACCTCCACTTGACGATCCCATGAAAGACGACTCGCCTTCCTCCTTTACAGTCCCAAGGTCACTACTGCAACCGGCAAACAACCTGGTGCTCTCCAAGAGGTTCCCTTCATTCCCTGGCTTCAGCGCCACAACCTCTGCCTCACTCTCTCCTTGCAACATCGCCACCACTCGCTCCATGCCTGGCCGCTCCTCTGCCTCGTTTTGGATGCAAAGTAGGCCGATGTTGATCACACGAAGCACCTCCACCTTTTCTTCATCTCGCAGGCTCATTGTACGATCCACCGAGTCCACCAACTTACCCTGCCGACGCAGATCCCATACCTACGAACCCACCGAGACAATAAGCCATATGCTGATCCCTACATGCCCAATCTGCTCAAACATCATGTGAATGACTAGGATTCATTTCACCTACGAAAATAAACTCCATTTTGGACCAAAGCGATCACCCTCAATTGAAGGTAGTGATACCAAACATGTGAAAAAAAGAGCGAAATCCTCACCCATTTGGACAGATACATTTCGCCAGGAGGATAAGAATCATCAATGTTTCTTCTTCCACTCACAATCTCTAAACACAGCACTCCAAAGCTGTAAACATCCACCTTGTCACTCAACCGACCACACGACGCATATTCTGGTGCCAAGTATCCCCTGTGGACATATTCAACCCACTTCTACTTCAGAAGTGAGCACAAACATGGATCTTCACAACTTCCAGTAACTACTGAGCCGGAACTTCACAACTTGAACTAACTACTGAGCTTACTTGGTACCAGCAACATGCTTGGTCACTATACAACTCTGTTCATCAGGAAAAAGCAACGCCAAGCCGAAGTCTGCTATCTTGGTGTCGTAGTTCTTGGTTAGTAAGATGTTGCTGGCTTTGATGTCTCGATGGATGATCCTCGGATGTGCAAGTGCATGGAGGTAATGTAGACCGCGGGCCACTCCCAAGACGATCTTCCATCGCACAGGCCAGCTCAAGTCGGCCTTGTTTGCACCCCCTGCGCCAACGAAATCGTGGCAACACAAGGTGTAAAGGGTGCTAATTATCGCTTAAATACCACCAAATTTCCACTGGTTTCAGGTTGTTCATAAACAAGAGCAAGTGTGAGAGTAATCCAAAAAGAATCAAGAATAAGTGATTGGAGTGTTGTCAATGAAGAATTGCAAAACTGTCACAGACGCTGTGTAAGATTAGAGTTCTCACGTTGAGGGTTCATCTCACCTAGAAGAACCTGGTCAACGTCATAGTTGTCAACATACTCGTACACCAACGATCTTTGTTGTTCACGAATGCAACACCCTTTCAGATTCACAAGGTTCCTGTGCTTCATTCCTGTCAACAAAACTACCTCATTCAGAAATTCGTCTAAACCCTTGGAAGTCTTTTGGGGGAATAGTAGTTTCACAGCCATGACATTTCCATTCGGCAAAATCCCCTGCGAGAAGTCACAAAGACGGTGTCATTTAGTCGAAATCTTCGATGTAATAAATTGGAAACAAATCCCACTATCTTCTACTTACTACCATCCATGTGGCACACAGACAGTAGATCTGCATGGTTTTCGGCAGAAAAGTAGACGTCTTGATCTGCAATATTTCTTCGACGTTGTTCACATTTTACCTTGTACACTCTCCCAAAGGCTCCCTCGCCCAACTTCAAGTCGGGATGGAAGTCGCGTGTGGCAGTTCGGAGCTGGCTGTGGGTGAATATAGTTGGCTTCACCTCAAACTCTTCAAACTCTGGAGCGAATACAAACCTCAGTACTTTTGTAAACAACGGTTAAAGCTGCAGTTGATTTTGAGAATGAATCAGGCATGAGCTACAAATATCATGCCAAATTTGATATTGTGTACTCCTAGAAGTGCAGATCATGTTCTTACTTTGTTGGACCAGAACCTGATACTGCTTGAGCTTTTTGTGCCTATGAAATAGAATAGCCAGACTGATCATTAGGATCAGTGATGAGGTTACACTGACCACCACAGCGATTATCGTAATCTTGCGGTTGCTTTCTTGCATTGGAACTGAAACAAGATGACGAACTCTCATAAGCATGGTTGACAAAAAAACATGAGAATGACATGTTCATTTGACCTAAAGGACGAGGACCAATACCTGAGTTGAAGCAAGTTTGTGCACAGAACATTTTCCTTCCGTCATCAGAATGTGGACACTTGCAGAATGGATTCCCTTGCAGTCTGCACAACCCAATGTGACGATTCGGTAACCAATGCTACCTGTGAATTTAGGTCCAGTCATACAATTCCCTCCACAGACTTGTTATCATGATAAGGACAAAGCTACTCAGAGCAAAAGGATCATCGGCACCTTCCAGCTACCATTGATCGACAAGCTGATCTATTAGAGATCGTTTCTATCTTTATCAGGAGGGATTGCCATCAATCGCCAGGGCATGCTCACCTGATAACTGTGGCGATATCAACGATAGACTTGGCGTCATAGACAACATTGCTAATGCTGTTGTTCATCAATGAAAGTACTGTCAGCATGCTTGATTTTGCTGTCGAGTTTTTAGACATGAGTAAGCCCAGGTCATACAGTCGACTGATGTTCAGTGTTGGATCGGTGCGAATGTTGTCGAGATACCTGTAATGCAATGTATCTTGTGAGGCGACTTCCATAGAATTGCAACATTTTGATAATTGAATTGCAGAAATTCTAAATCTTTCATCCAACCTGATAAAAATATATACTGGTTAATGAAATGTATTTTAACCATGATAAAGGAAGTATATTACATGGCGTCTGGTTAAATCATCCACACTCTAAATTTGGGTAATTTCAAACTTGATAAAATGAGCTTACAGCTCCTGGAGCGAGCCAAGTTCGTAGGAGCTCCAGAACTTTTGATCGAGTGTGAGTGGATTGTGCGATATATCCAACACTAGAAGGCTGTTGTCCTCAGTTCTGTTGAAGTACGACGAAATCAGAAATGATCCTGTACATCCACTCCTGCTCAAATTCCTGTGGAAGACATAAATACAGGAATCAGAGCACTTCGTCCTCTGTTGCTCAAAAATATAAGATACACCGGGTTTCACCTGAGCCTGTTTGAAGTTGCTATTATTAACCTCCTGCAAGATACATTGTGCTTTATCCTGTGTTTCATTGTCATGGCAGTCCCTGCTGCAAGTGTTAGCCAATGTGAGGAATGCAACTAAGGAACTGATATGCGTGGTTTAAACTTTTCCGTTACAATATTGACAACCTGGCAACATAATTGCACAGTTATGCTTAAGCTTGTAAGGTACTACACACACATCCTGGGCATCGGAAACTCACACAGTGCGTAAGGAATGTATCATTGTCAGGTTTGGCAGTGTCCCGTGAAACTTGTTGCTTGACAAGTCCCTGTCAATCCCAGAGACACAAGAATAGTGAGAGATTAGAGCGACTCTGACTCAAACGAGTTACAGGAGTAGTAGCCACCACAACAAACCATTCACCGCTACCCGACCCCTAAGATGTAGCAAAAGCTCTAAAAGCTTTCGAGACTATTGCGTTTAGATTGCCGGAAGAGACTAGCAGATTAAGTTACATGAAGTACTGGACTGAAAAGCTCGAATCTCTAATTTCAGATGTTAGAAATTCGGATTCTTACAGTTCGAAAAGCTCGGTCATGTTTTCAAACGCTCGTTCTGGCACCGGCCCCTCAAAACGATTTCTGCCGAGTCTTAATATTTGGAGGTACACCATCTGACGTATTCGATGAAACGGGAAGGACCCATAGAACTTGTTGCCACTTAAGTCCCTGTTGAAGTGCCAATGCGTTTTGTGAGATGACGACAGTCTTTCTGCTGGAAGCATTTGAGAAATTAAAACAACAAACCATGGTTTGGCACACTACTCTGTTACAGAGCTTACAGTGTCATGAGCCGATCCCATTCGACCCCGAAATCAGGGAATTCACCCTCCAACGCATTGTCGTGAACATCCCTGGGAATTAAGAGCAGTAAAACAACTTTCAGTGTTTGCATCAGCAACATGTTTCTACTGTATCATATCTGAATCAAAACCACATCTCATATATTAATTGCACAATGGTAGCTAACTCAAATGCAGTGGCAAGCTTTAGATGAATAATTTGGTCGCGAGTGACGAGAACTGCACATCAGAATTCGAGTCTTACAAAATGGCAAGACTAGTTTGATTCAATGTCCCTGGAAGAGGTCCAGTGAGATCTGGATTTCCTGTCAGCTCCCTGCAGCACAGGACCCACCTTTTAGTGTCGTCGTCCGTAAAGTGGAAGCTGAAATAGTGAAGTTCCTGAACCAACACTGAACATTTCACAGTGCGATGTCAATTGATCCCTTGCTTTTTAAGGGCTGTTCTATCGGTTAATTCCAATTTTCATAAGCCAAGTTCACACTGGATCATGAATTCTTGTCAGCAGGTAATAGCAAAAATCAAGGACAATTTAGAGACTTACAGTCTGTACAGCGTGGAAATGTTTCCAATTGTTGGTGGTATAGAGCCTACAATTGATGCACTTTGGAGAGTCCTGTTTGATGTGGCCATGAAACCCTTGAAAAATCAGAAAACTAATGGATGCGACACAATGAGTCAGATGCAGTTGTACATATGAAGCGGTCATTAAGGCTGGCAGCACGTCCACCTCCCAGTTGTCCAGGAGCGAAATTCGTTTCCAGCATAAGCAATAATTCGGAAGCAGAATAAATCAAAGTAGTAAAAACTTACACGCCTAAAATGATGGAAAAGCATTCTCGATGGCTGCTATTTAATGAATAACAGTCGATGTAGTCGATGCACTGCACCCCACGCCATTTGCGATGCCGTTCGAGTAAGCACGGAAACTTCGAATTTATGTACCACCCAGCCAAGTTAGTCTCAAGGTTGGGGGTTTGATTCCATGCTCGCAAAAGGTCTTTCAGTGCGTCCACTGCAAGTTAACCCAGACAATAGTTCATTTTCTAACTAGTCCGTGTAGGAACAGAGTCCTCCTTATTCACACCGGTCTCTTCGAAAGAATGGAGTTTCGTCAGACTCTTACAAGTACTAGCATTTTTCCAACCGACGTCCAACTGTGCAGCGAAATCAATCAAGAGCTGCCTCGGTACTCAGTTGTCCCTAAACCTTTGCCCTGGCTAATTATGTAACCACACATTCACATGAGGGAGTGGGACGGCTTACGTTGTTGCGGAAAGAAAGTTACAATAGTATTCAGTCCGTTGGAGGTGGGCAGTGTGCCCAACAAGACGATGAGAGCTGCGACGAAGCAAGATTGGTGGACAAGAGAATACTTCCCGACGCCCAGTTTGAGACCCATGGTGTCTCCCGCTTAGTTGCACTCTGCTCTCAGTGTGAATTTGCTCTGATTACGGTGTCGACAGAGAAAGCACAACAACCTGATGAAACGAGACAGACAGCTCTTGTCCAATGCTTTGCTCACTTCATATCGATTGCCTCTACCGATTTCTGAGGTGAGCTGAATGTGGTCTCGCACATTCACAGTGTCGGTGAGGACCACCAGCCCTTCAACATCGTCAATGCTGGAGAAACGAGGCAAATTTTTATTGTTACGGATGTGAATTGTTGGTAGATGGCATTCATCCTTCTGCCTACCAGTCCGCCCTGCGACGAAGAAGGTCTTGCTTGGACCGCAATTGGACAGCCCGATCCCCTGATAATTCCTCGGGTCGGCGGGGCCGGAGTCTTCCTGTTTCGCAGAAGGATCTTGAACTTATTTGGTAGTGGTTAGGCTTAATCTTATTTTCTTTAAAAATACATAATTTAGTTTCTTAAAAATGGGAATAGAAATGGGTTACTTAGATAAGGAACGAGAGATACGCATTATGAAAATGAAATTTTGAAAACCAATATGAAAACTTTGTATGTAACACATTTTTAGAACACAGAAAGTGTAAAAAGTAGTATAGGATAATACAAAGTGATTTTAGTTTAGATTTAGCAATAAAAATATGTATTTACAAATGTAAATCTTGATCTTGCATTTAATTGTTGCAAAACATTGTTATACTTTGAACCAAATTTTCCTAAATAATATTCTTTTACATAAAAAATAATGTAATTATTAAATACCTTCACCTGATTGAAATTCTTATGAGGTAAGATTCAAAGAACTATTTTTTTCAGTTCATTTGTATATATAATATGTGAATGCATTCTATAAAACACGTCCTAAATTGTGGGGATGTAGGGTCAAAGTCAACCTCAACGTCCCCACACGCGCGCACGGACACATGTCCACATGGCTCCCTTCTTCCTGGCCCTGCCCTTGAGAGCGCCGGGCAGGGAGCGTGTTGGCGGGGGCGAGTCTCAGGCTCACCACCGTTCCTTGGGCTGCTCGTTCGTTCGTTGGTGTGTTAGTTCGCTCGGAGGTGGCCTCGCCTGTCCTGCTTGGCGAGAGGGAGGGAGTGAGAGAGGCTCTCACTGAGCTCCTCCACCACCGCCTCGCATTTCCATTCGTTTCCCCTTCCGCTTCTTCATCTTCAATTCCACCCTCATCCCTCCCCTGTCTCTCAAGTTTGGTATACTCTCCATTCGACAATCGGTTTTTCATGTGATTTCCTTTTCGTAGTGTCAACATTTTTGACGTACTGCTGCGTCATACGTCATGGTTAGATTGTGTCCCATTTGTCATTGTATGCCTATTGCTTTTGGATGGATTACAATCGTTGTCACAGTTTTCCTAATTTTTAGAAGAGATAGTTGATTCATCATTACTAATTCAGATCCTTCAAAAGTTCTCTTGTCAGGTCACTGGGACAAAGATTCGCGGTTATAAAAATTGAACACGAATCGAGGGCAGTCGTCATAAAGAGGTCACAACCAATATTCACGACCAATCTCATAAAAAATAAGAAACTATTATTAGGCATTTAAAAAATAACGTCATGATGCAGTTATAAAACCAAGGCCTTTTTTGACTTCCGTGGCCGCATGAATTTTTGGATCTCATAACACGAACATTAAAACCACCCCCTTCCCCAGGTTTATCGGGAACTGAGCCCGACAGTATATTTTCGACTCATCAAAACAGTGCTTACAAAACAATACCATGCTCAGAATATGACCAATTATTTACAATTGCCAGGTTGCAAACGTCAGAGAATTTGGAAGATTTATCAGTGAACTAAGCACCTTTATCTTGTACAAAATACTTTCTTTTCTTTATTAATGACTATTCGTGAAAATCTTGAATTTATTTTCTCAAAAAGAAGAAAAAAATCTTTAAAAAATTCCTGTAATTCAAAGTAATGATAGAAAGACAAACAAAAAACTTGTCAAAGGTTTGAAAACCAACAATGGAGGAGAATTTATATCACAAGATTTTTCAAATTATTGTACAAGAAATAGCATCATTTAACAATTCATATTGCCTTATACACCTCAACAAAATAAAAGTAGTGGAAAGAAGAAATAGATCAATATTGGACAAAGCAAGATACATATTATTATTGAGAAGACCATCCATTTATCTATAGCCAAAAGCAGCAAATGTCACAATATATCTATTAAATAGGCTACCAACAAGAGCAAACAATCTCAATATATCATCAAGAAGAAATGTTTTTTGGGAGTAAACCAAAATTATGCCATTTGAAAACATTTGGATGCTCATCTCATGAGCACATAGTACATTAATTAAGAAACAATCAAGGGTGAAATTTTTAGTGATCCATGTAGCAAATTGCTCACTCTTGTATACAAGAAATGAAAAAATGATACATCTATTTTTAGCTATTTTCTAAGAATCAAATTGATGAATGACCCATCATCAAATTTCATCATGATATATCTTCTGTTGAACAAGTATACTCTCCAAATCACGAAATCAATCCTATTTGGCCATTATCATCTATTACAAGAATAGACAAACAAATTACAGTACCATGATGGATGAAAGACCATTTTGTAAGATTGATGACTATATCAAATCTAGAACCAACCACATATTATGAAGCAGCACTGCATCAAGGATGAAATATAGCCATGCTAGATGAAAAGAACTCCATATACAAAAATGAAACTTGAACTATTAAAAATCTACTTCCAAGTAAATCTACTATCTCAACTTAATAGACATATAAGGCAAAATTGAATACTAATAGCTCACTTCAAAAACACAAAGTTACACCAGTTGCAAGACACTTTGAACGAAAAGAAGGCATTGACTATAAAGAAACTTTTAAACCATTAGTAAAATAGGCCACCATTGGGGCCATGATTTCAATTGCAACATAAATCAATTAGAAACTATATCACATGGATGTTCCAATTGCATTTTTTCATGACGACTTCAAAGAAGAAGTATATGTTCAAAAATCAAAAGAAGTTCAAATTTCTCCCAAAGAAAATATGATTTGCCAACTCAAAATATTACGATTTTCCAACTAAAAAAAACACTATGGACTAAACAAGCCTCTCCAGATGGTATGAAAAATCAGACTCTTATTCATTTCAACAAGGAATAGGTGATCATAACTTATACTCAAGATTATCTGATGGGAGAAGACTAATTCTTATCGCATTATATATTCATGTCCTCCTTCTGCTAGGTTGCATAGAGAACACGACCAAGCTAAGAAGTCAACAAGATCGAAAGTTGCACAGAAAACCTCACCATGGAAGAAAACAAGATCTGAAGTTAAACCTCTTCTACGTCGGCTCACTTTCGACAAATACTACATCTGTCCCTTCACTGACGAACAATCTTGATCTATTATCGACCCAAGTCTGTCAACAAGCTGCATTCCACTTTTCTAGCGTCGCAAAAATAAATGAATCATCTGACTCTTATTTCACTGAGCTCAAGAACAGCACCAGTGGAATTATCTTTCTCATAACGACTTCCACCTCCACTTGACGATTCCATGAAAGACGACTCGCCTTCCTCCTTTACAGTCCCAAGGCCACTACTGCAACCGGCAAACAACCTGGTGCTCTCCAAGAGGTTCCCTTCATTCCCTGGCTTCAGCGCCACAACCTCTGCCTCACTCTCTCCTTGCAACATCGCCACCACTCGCTCCATGCTTGGCCGCTCCTCTGCCTCGTTTTGGATGCAAAGTAGAGCGATGTTCATCACACGATGCACCTCCACCTTTTCTTCATCTCGCAGGCTCATTGTACGATCCACCGAGTCCACCAACTTACCCTGCCGATACAGATCCCATACCTACGAACCCACCGAGACAATAAGCCATATGCTGATCCCTACATGCCCAATCTGCTCAACCATCATGTGAATAACTAGCATTCAATTCACCTACGAAAATAAACTCCATTTTGGACCAAAGCGATCACCCTCAATTGAAGGTAGTGATACCATACATGTGATAAAAAGAGCGAAATCCTCACCAATTTGGACCGATACATTTCGCCAGGAGGATAAGAATCATCAATGTTTCTTCTTCCACTCACGATCTCTAAACACAGCACTCCAAAGCTGTAAACGTCCACCTTGTCACTCAACCGACCACACGACGCATATTCTGGTGCCAAGTATCCCCTGTGGACATATTCAACCCACTTCTACTTCAGAAATAGGGCACAAGCATGGATCTTCCAAACTCTCAAACCATTCGAGACTAGTACGTTTTGATTGCCGATAGAGACTAGTAGATTAAGTTGCATGAAATACTGGACTAAAAAACTCGAATATCTAATTTCAGATGTTAGAAATTCGGATTCTTACAGTTCGAAAAGCTCCGTCATGTTTTCAAACGCTTGTGCTGGGACCGGCCCCTCAAAACGATTTCTACCGAGTCTTAATGTTTGGAGGTACTCCATCTGACTAATTTGAGAAATCGGGAAGGACCCCGTAATCAGGGAATTCACCCTCCAACGCATTGTCGTGAACATCCCTGGGAATTAAGAGCAGTCAAACAACTTTCAGTGTTTGCATCAGCAACATGCAATTACTGTATCATATCTGAATCAAAACAACATCTCACATATAAATTGCATAATGGCATCTAACTCAAATGCAGTGGCAAACTTTAGATGCATAATTTGGTCGCGAGTGACGAGAACTGCACATCTGAATTCGAGTCTTACAAAATGCTAAGACTAGTTTCATTCAATGTCCGTGGAAGAGGTCCAGTGAGATTTGGATTTCCTGTCAACTCCCTGCATCACAGGATCCACCTCTTAGTGTCGTCTTCCGTAAAGAGGATGCTGAAAAAGTGAATTTCCTGAACCAACACTGAACATTTCACAGTCCGATGTCAATTGATACCTTGCTTTTAAGTGCTGATCTGTCGGATAATTTCAATTTTCATAAACCAAGTTAACACTGGATCATGAATTCTTATCAGCAGGTAATAGCAAAAATCAAGGACATTTCGGAGACTCACATTGTATACAGCGTGGAAATGTTTCCAATTGTTGGTGGTATAGAGCCTACAAGTGATGCACTTTGGAGAGTCCTGTTTGTTGTGGCTATGAAACCCTTGAAAAATCAGAAAACTAATGGATGCGACACGATGAATCAGAAGCAGTTGTACATATAAAGCGGTCTACAAGGCTGGCAGCACGTCCACCCCGCAGTTGTCCAGGAGCAAAATTCGATTCCAGCATGAGCAACAATTTGGAAACAGAATAAATTAAAGTAGTTAACACTCACACGCCTATAATGTGGGCATCGCAATCCTGATGCGTGGTATTTGATGGACAGTTGATGAAGTTGAGACACTGCATCCCACGCCAATTGCGATGGTCTGGGTCGAAGCACGGATACGGGGATTTCTTGTCACACCCAGCCAAGTTAGTCTCAAGGTGGGGGTTTGATTTCATGCCTTGAGTTGGTCATACATTGCGTCCACTGCAAGTTAACCCAGACAATAGTTCATTTGTAACTAGTCCGTGTAGGAACAGAGTCCTGTTCATTCACACCGGTCTCTTCGAAAGAATGGAGTTTCGTTAGACTCTTACAAGTACTATCATTTTTCCAACCGACGTCCAACTGTGCCGCAATCAATCAAGAGCTGCATCGGTATTCGGTTGTCCCTAAACCTTTGGCTGGCTAATTATGTAACCACACATTCACATGAAGGAGTGGGACTGCTTACGTTGTTGAGTATAGAACCATGTAGTAGTAATATGTCCGTTGGAGGTGGGCAGTGTGCCCAACAAGACGATCAGAGGTGCGACGAATTTCTGAATGAGGTAGTTTTGTTGGGAACTGTATCGGCAGGGTAAGTTGGTGGACTCGGTGGATCGTACAATGAGCCTGCGAGATGAAGAAAAGGTGGAGGTGCTTCGTGTGATGAACATCGCTGTACTTTGCATCCAAAACGAGGCAGAGGAGCGGCCAAGCGTGAAGCGAGTGGTGGCGATGTTGCAAGGAGAGAGTGAGGCAGAGGTTGTGGCGCTGAAGCCAGGGAATGAGGAGAAACTCTTGGAGACCATGAGGTTGTTTGCCGGTCGCAGGAGTGATCTTAGGACTGTAAAGGAGGAAGGCGAGTCGTCTTTCATGGAATCTTCAAGTGGAGGTGGAAGTCGTTATGAGAAAGGAAATTCCACTGGTGCTGTGCTTGAGCTCGGTGAAATAAGAGTCAGATGATTCATTTATTTTTTGCATGCCTAGAAAAGTGGAAAGCAGCTTGTAGACATACGGATATAGTATTTGTAGATAGTGAGCCATTGTAGAAGAGTTTATCTTCAGATCTTGTTGACTCCTTGTTTTTCCTGTATACCTGTGTGACAATCGCTGAGTAGTTCTACTAATCGACAGTAACAGTGTTCCTGTAATAGACTCAGGAGATCACTGAAGGGACACCAATACAGGTGTTTGCACAAAGGTTTTTAGTGTAAGCAACTCGAGAGTTAAGTACAAGAGAAAATACCGACGATCGATAGGTTTCGGATCGTTGCATTCTTTATGTTGATGTCTAGGTTCTATAGTATCAACCGAGGTCTGTATCCAACACCCTCCTTCGCTCCCGTGGTTGAGATTTCCGGTTTTACCTCAGAGCTACTACCTTTTTCTTTGCTCTACGTGGGTTTCCTTTTCTGCGTTGCGAACTATTGGCGTAGCGTCCGTGGAGTGGTCCGAATGCTCGGAAAGTGGAGTGCCCTCGAGATTCGCCCGTAAGTTTATTTTCATTACTGAATTCAGTTTTCTTTGTCTCTATTCATTTTGTTCTCTACTGAAAATAGGTTGTTCTGATCTTGTAGATTTGAGCCTACTTGGTTGTCATTGGGTCGCTGCTCTCATTCATAGCATGTCTCTGCGAATGGTTGTTGAGGAAATTGGAGAAAAGGTTGTTTTCTATTCCGGTTGAGGCTCTTGGTCAAGATGGAGCGGGAGAAGATTCTTCTGCTCATTCATTTGGATTTGCTGCTGACTCTTCAGTTTCGGCTCATCACCCAAGTTCATCAACTTCCAACACCATTGGAGTTTCTGGTGATGGCTTGATAGCTTGTAGATACTATGCATTAGAATGTGGAATTCATCCAGGAGTCTATGCATCTTGGACAGCTTGTGAGGTTGAGGTTAAGGGCTTTAGAGGTGCCAAGTTTAAAGCATTTTGAAAGAGGACAGATACTAGAAACTATGTTCTAAACTAGGTATTTATTTGTTTAAGTCCTTTTGTTCTTTTTATTTTTAAATTTTTGTCTGGTTAGACTGAATGTGCTTATCACATTCAATCTTTCTTGGAATTTATTGAATAAAGATCTTCCTAGTGGTTTTGTAAAAGTATTTGCTACTCGTTCCATGGTTGGTACATATTGAAGATTGAGTTTTCTTGCTTTGATTTTTGTTTTGGTGAAATGATAATGTGCAACAATATGACTTGTTCTTGGACTGATTCTTGGATTGGTAGCTATGCTTATATTTCCAATAGTGTCATAGTGTATGATTCTTGGATGTTGTATCTTGATTTGCAAATCTTTGAGTAGTATTGATATCTATGTAGCTTCTCTTGAAGCTTTTGCTAGTGCTCTATATTCTACTTGTGAGGAAGATAAAGCTATTGTTGTTTGTTTCTTAGATGACCATCATATGGGTATATTGACAATATTGAATACAAAACTTGTGCAGGAGCATGCTTATTTCCTACCCAGTTGGAATTTGCTTATTTAGTAAGGTGATTTTGATTATTCTCTCTATATACAATTTCATAATCATGAGTATACTTGTTGTAACATAGAATCCTTTTTGCTACCAATAGGTGTGATTTTTGAGGTCTTGGCATAAATCTATTGGCAATCCTTGTGGCAAATTGAATATGAAAATAAATGTAGATTAAGTGGAGATATTTGCCATCTATGCTATAATATTGTATTGAATATACTTCTTCTTCTTCCATATCAACCTTGAGCTTTAATTTTTCATCCACTGGAGTCATTCCATGTATATAATTTTTTATACCAAAAATAACTTATATATTGTGTGCATAGACCTTTTTGTGAAGGAATGAGCAATTTGTTGTATGAATCACTAGAAATTTCATCCTTAGTTGTTTCTTGATTGATGTCCTATATGCACCAGACTTGAGCATCCAAATGTTTTCAAATGGCATAATTTTGGTTTACTCCCAAAAAAAACAGTTCTTCTCATCACATATTGAGATTGTTTGTCTTTCTTGGTAGCCTATTTCATAGATATATTGTGGTTTTTGTTGCTTTAGGCTAGAAATAAATGGATAGTTTTCTCGATAATAATATGTATCTTGCTTTGTCTAATATTGATATATTTCTTCTTTCCACTACTTCATTTTGTTAGCGTATATAAGGCAATATGAATTGTCAAATGATGCTATTTCTTGTACAATAATTTGAGAAGTCTTGTCATATAAATTCTCCTCTATTGATGATTTTTAAACCTTTGATAAGTTTTTCCATTTGTCTTTCTTTCATTACTTTGAATTCTATGATTTTTTCAAAAGTTTGTTTCTTCTCTTTGAGAAAATAAATTCAAGTTTTTCTAAAATAGTCATTAATAAAGAGGAGAAATTATTTAGTAGAGGACCAAATAAGTGGGCATGTATTAACTCAAGTATTTCCTTGATCTAGTGGCTCCATCTTTGGATATTACATTTCTTGTTTGTTTTCTTTCCAAATAATGTTTATAATATAATTCCTTGATTGCAAAGGCTGGTATATTTTCTGTATTCAGCTTTATCATCATATGTAGACTTACATGTCCTAGTCAGCAATGCCATAGGTAATCATTTTCATCTTTCATCTTTAATTGTAGTTTAGATTCTGGCTAGATTTTACGTGGCTAGATTAAATGTTCCAACCCCTCTGACGTTTGCAACCAGTCATTCGTATATAACTGGTCATATGCTGAATATGGTATTGTTGTATGAGCAGTGCTTTGATGAGTCGAAAAAATATTGTCAGGCTCAGTTTTCGATAAACCTGCTGAAGTTCGTGACATTAATGTTCAAGTATTATGAGATCCAAAATTTGATGCGGCCGAGGGAATCAATAACGGCTTCGATTTTATAACTGGGGTATTGACGTTTATTTTTGAAAGACCTAATAATAGATTCCCATTCTTCACGAGATTGACTGTGGTTGTTACCTCTTTATGACCGACGGCCCTTCTGTTAGTGTTCAATTTATATAACCGAGAATCTTTGTCCTAATGACCCATTATGATAACTTTTCAAGGATCCGAATTAGTAGGGGCAAAACAACTATCTCTCCTTAAAATTAGGAAAACTATGAATATGACTGTAATCCATCCAAAAGAAATAGACATGCAATGACACAAGGGACATGCTCCAACCACGACGTATGACGCAGCAGTACGTCAAAAATGTTGACACTACAAAAAAAATAAAAATAAAAATAACATGAAAAAATAAATTTTGAATGGAGAGTATATCAAACCCTAGGTTCAAAGTCTGGTGGACAGGCTCAACAGTCCAAAGCACGCACAAAACTAGAAAATCTGCAAACCCACTAAACAACACCCAATTACCTCGGATAACCTCTTCAGCCCCTCCAATCAACTACGCAACCCACAACAGAATCACTCCGCCTTCACAAGCGGCACCCATCACGGCTCGCACCTTTCGCGAAACCTCACAAGTCTGCCCAGTTCCCTCTCCCCTCCTTCAACCACCCAAATTTACAAACCCACAACACACACGATCCAAATTTGCAATCCACTGGAACCGTAGACACCCAATGACAGCAGTCCAACCCCATCTTGAATCCCTAAGGTCCGAAAACCGCTGCACATCACGCCAGATTAGTGATAAAGAGAGAGAAAAAAGAAAAATCAAGGCAATGCTATGGTGGGTAGTGCCAAAATGAGCATAGAATCCACACACACACACACAGAGGGACAGAGAGACCAATAGGTAATAGAGAGAGAGAGAGAGCGAGAAGGATCCAGTGAGATTAGGGAGACAGGGTAGAGAGAGAGGGAGGGTGGAATTGAAGTTGAAAAAGAAGGGGAAATAAACGGAAATGCGAGGTGGCGGAGGAGGAAGAGCAGCACAGTCAGAGTTCCTCTCCCTCTCTCCTTCGCCAGGCAAGGCCACAACCAAACGAACGAACCAACTCTCAAACCAACAAATTTGCGCTGCTGAGCCTGACTTGCCCTCGCCACCACGCTCCCTGCCCGGCGCTCTCTCGGGCAGGGCCAGGAAGGAGATAGCCATGTGGGCATGTGTCCATGCGCGTGTGGGGACGTTGGGGTTGACTTTGACCCTACAGCACCACAATTTTGGCTTCACCTCAAACTCTTCAAACTCTGGAGCGATTACAAACTTCAGTACTTTGCTAAACGACTGTTACAGCTGCACTTGATTTTGAAAATGAATCAGACATAAGCTACAGCTTTCATGCCAAACTTGATATTGTGAACTCCCAGAAGTGCGGATCAAGTTCTTACTTTGTTGGACCAGAAGCTGATATTGCTTGAGCTTTTTGTTTCTATGAAATAGAATAGCCAGACTGATCATTAGGATCAGTGATGAGGTTACACTGACCACCACAGCGATTATCGTAACCTTGCGTTTGGTTTCTTGCATTGGAACTGGAACAAGATGACGAACTCTCATAAGCACGGTTGATTATAAAAAACATGAGAATGACATGTTCTTTCGAATTCATGGGAGAGGACCGATACCCGAGTTGAAGCAACTTTGTGCACAGAAACATCTCCTTCCGTCATCAGAATATGGATCCTTGCAGAAGGGAGTCCCTTGTAGTCTGCACAACCCAATATGACGATTTTGTAACCAATGCTACCTATGAATTGAATTTCAGTTAGACAATTCCCTCCACAGACTTGTTATCATGATAAGCACACAGCTACTCAGAGCAAACGGATCATCGGCACCTTCCAGCTACCATTGATCGATAAGCCGATCTATTAGGGATCGTTTCTTTCTTTATCAGGAGGGATTGCCATCAATCGCCAGGGCAGGCCCACCTGATAACTGTGGCGATATCAATGATACAATTTGCGTCATAGACAACAGTGCTTATGTTGTTGTCCATCAATGAAAGCACTGTAAGCGTGCTTGGTTTTGCTGTCGAGTTTTTAGACATGAGCAAGCCCAGGTCATACAGTCGACTGATGTTCAGTGTTGCATCCATGCGAATGTTGTCGAGATACCGATAATGCAATGTATCTTGTGAGGCGACTTCCGTGGCATTGCAACATTTTGATAACTGCATTGCGGAAATTCTAAATCTTGAATACAACCTGATAAAAATATTCTGGATAATGAAATGTATTTTAAGCATGATAAAGGAAGTGTATTACATGGCGTCCGGTTAAATCATGTTCACTCTAGATTTTTGTAATTTCGAACTTGATAAAATGAGCTTACAGCTCCTGGACCGAGCCAAGTTCGTACGCGCTCCAGATATTTTGATCGAGTGTCAGTGGATTGTGCGATATATCCAACACTGGAAGGCTGTATTTCTTAGTTCTGTTGAAGTACGACGAAATCAGAAACGATCCTGTAAATCCATTCCTGCTCAAATTCCTGTGGCAGACATTAATTCAGGAATCAGAGCACTTCATCCTCTGTTGCTCAAAACATAAGATACATCGGGTTTTACCTGAGCTTGATTGTTGATGATATTAACAATCTCCTGCAAGATGCATTGTGCTACATCCTGTGTTATATTTCCAAGGCAATCCCTGCTGCAAGTGTTAGCCAATGTGAGGAAAGCAAGTAAGGAACTGACATGCGTGGTTTCAACTTTCCCCTTTACAACATTGACAACCTCGCAAGATAATTTCAGAGTCATGCTTAGGCTTGTAAGGTACTACACACACATCCTGGGCATCCGAAACTCACACAGTGCGTAAGGAATGTATCATTGTCAGGTTTGGCAGTGTCCCGTTAAACTTGTTGCTTGACAAGTCCCTGTCAATCCCAGAGATTTAGGAATAGTGAGAGATTAGAGCGACTCTGACTCAAACGAGTTACAGGAGTAGTAGCCACCACAACAAACCATTCACCGATCACCTACCCCTTATATGTAGGTTTTTTTGCACTCTGATGGTATGATGCCAAACTCTAAAACCATTCGAGACTAGTACGTTTAGGTTGCTTGAAGAGACTAGTAGATTAAGTTGCATGAATTACTTGACTGAAAAACTCGAATCTCTAATTTCAGATATTAAAAATTCGGATTCTCACAGGTCGAAAAGATTGGTCATGTTTTCAAACGCTCGTTCTGGGACCGGCCCCTCAAAACGATTTCTGCCGAGTCTTAATGTTTCGATGTACGGCAGCCAATTAATTTGAGAAATCGGGAAGGACCCATTAAACTTGTTGCCACTTAAGTCCCTGTTGATGTGCCACAGTCTATCTGCTGGAAACATTTGAGAAATTAAAACAACAAACCATGGTTTGGCACACTATTAATAAGCTTACAATGTCAAGAGGAAGATGAAATGGACCCCGAATTCAGGGAGTTCACCCTTCAACGCATTGTCGTGAACATCCCTGGGAATGAAGAGCAGTAAACAGCTTTCAGGGTTTGCATCGGCAACATGTAATTACTGGATCATATCTGAATCAAAATCACATCTCATATCTAAATTGCATATTGGTATCTAACTCAAATGCAATGGCAAAATTTAGATGCATAATTTGGTCGCGAGTGACGAGTACTGCACATCAGAATTCGAGTCTTACAAAATGGCAAGACTAGTTTGATTCAATGTCCCTGGAAGAGGTCCAGTGAGATCTGGATTTCCTGTCAACTCCCTTCAGCACAGGACCCACCTATTAGTGTCGTCGTCCGTAAAGAGAGCTGAGAAAGTGAATTTCCTGAACCACTACTGAACATTTAGCAGTCCGATGTCAATTGATCCCTTGCTTTTTAAGGGCTGTTCTCTCGGTTAATTCGAATTTTCATAAACCAAGTTCACACTGGATCATGAATTCTTATCAGCAGGTCATAGCAAAAATCACGGACATTTCGGAGACTCACAGTCTATACAGCGTGGTAATGTGTCCAATGGTTGATGGTATAGAGCCTACAAGTGATGCACTTTGGAGAGTCCTGTTTGTTGTGGCCACGTTACCCTCGAAAAATCAGAAAAGTAATGGATGCGACATGATGAATCAGAATTAGTTGTACATATGAAGCGGTCTATAAGGCTGCAGCACGTCCACCCCCCAGTTGTCCAGGAGCAAAATTCGATTCCAGCATGAGCAACAATTTGGAAACAGAATAAATCAAAGTAGTAAACACTCACACGCCTATAATGTAGCTATAGCAATTCTGATCCTTGCCATATGATGTACAGTTGATGAGACACTGCACCCCACGCCAATTGCCTCCGTCCAAGCACGGAGATGTTGAATCCATGTCCCACTTAGCCAAGGTAGTCTCAAGGTTGGGGGTTTGATTCCATGCTCGCAAAAGGTCTTTCAGTGCGTCCACTGCAAGTTAACCCAGACAATAGTTCATTTCTAACTAGTCCGTGTAGGAACAGAGTCCTCTTTATTCACACCGGTCTCTTCGAAAGAATGGAGTTTCGTCAGACTCTTACAAGCACTATCTTTTTTACCAACCGATGTCCAATTGTGCAGCCAAGTCAATCAAGAGCTGCGTCGGTACTCAGCTGTCTTTAAATCCTTTGCCCTGGCCAATCATGTAACCACACATACACATGAGGGAGTGGGACGGTTTACCTTGGTTATTGTCGTTATATATAGTGGTAGTCTGTCCGTCGCAGGTGGGCAGTGTGCCCAACAAGACAATCAGAGCTGCGACGAAGCAAGATTGGTGGACAAGAGAATACTTCCCGACGCCCAGCTTAAGACCCATGGTGTTTCCCGCTTAGATGCTCTCTGCTCACAGTGTGAATCTGCTCTGAGTACGGTGTCGACAGAGAAAGCACAACAACCTGATGAAACGAGACAGACAGCTCTTGTCCTATGCTTTGCTCACTTCATATCGATTGCCTCTACCGATTTCTGAGGTGAGCTGAATGTGGTCTCGCACATTCACACTGTCGGTGAGGACCGCCAGCTCTTCAACATCGTCAATCTATAAATTCTCATCTAAATAACCCATTTCTATTTCAAATAAAAAGGAATCTAAATTATGTAATATTATAGAAAATAAGATTAAGCCTGAACACCACCAAATATGTTCAAGTTCCTGCTGCGAGACAGGATGACCCCGGCGCCGCCGACCAGAGGATTGATCGGAGATCGGGCTGCCCAATTGCGGTCCGAGCAGGACCTTCTTGGTCGCATTGCGGACTGGTAGGCAGAAGGATGAATGCCATCAACCGACAATTCACATCCGTAACAATAAAAATTTGCCTTGTTTCTCCAGCATGTAGAAATATTTTACACTAATAATATGTTCCTTCATGGCCCTGCCCGAGAATGCGCCGGGCAGGGAGCGTGGTGGCGGGGGCCAGTCTCAGGATCAGCAGATTTCGTTAGTTCGTTGGTTCGTTCGTTCGGTTGTTGCCTCGCATGCCCTGCCCTGCGAGAGTAAGAGAGAGGAACTCACACTGCTCCTCTTCCTCCTCCACCACCACCTCACATTTCCGTTTGTTTCCTTCTACTTCTTCTTCATCTTCTATCTCTCCCTCCATCCCTCCCTGCCCTGTCTCTCCATCTTCGCTTGATCCCTCTCGCTCTTTCTCTCTCTCTCTCTCTCTCTCTCTCTGTTCCCTCATCGCTTTCTCTCTCTCGCTCTGTGTGTGTGTGTGGATTCTATGCCCATTTCGGCACTACCCACCTCCGCATTGCCTTACTTTTCCTTTTTTTTCTCTCTCTCTCTATCTCGAGTCTGTCGCGATGTGCACCTTTTTTCGGACCTCGGGGGTTCAAGAAGGGGTTAGACTGGTGACATTGGGCGTCTACAGTTCGAGTGGATTGCGAATTTGGATCGTGTGAGTGGTGGGTTTGTAAATTTGGGTGGTTGATGGAGGGGAGAGGGAACTGGGCGGACTTGTGAGGTTTTGCGAAAGGTGCGAGCCGTGATGGGTGCCGCTTGTGAAGGCGGAGCGATTCTGTCGCGGGTTGCGTAGTTGGCTGGAAGGGCTGGGGAGATAATCCGAGGTAATTGGCTGCTGTTGAGTGGGTTTGCAGACTTTCTAGTTTAGTGCGTGCTTTGGCCTGTTTGGCCTGTCCATCAGACTGATGATGATCATGTTGGGTCATTGGGACAAAGATTCACGGTTATATAAATAGAACACTAATGGGAGGGCCGTCGGTCAATAAGAGGTAACAACCAGCATCCACGGTCAATCTCATGATAATCAGGAATCTATTATTAGGTGTTTTAAAAGTAAACGTCGATACTGCAGCCTAATCCGAAGCCCTTTTTGATTCCCGCGGCCGCATGAATTTTTGGATCTCATAATACTTGAGCATTAAAACCACCACCTTCCTCAGGTTTATCGGGAACTGAGCCCGACAGTATTTTTTCAATTCATCAAACCACTGTTCATGCAACAATACCGTACTCAGAATATGACCAGTTATTTACGAATGACAGGTAGCGAACGTCAGAGAATTTGGAAGATTTAATCTAGCCACGTAAAATCTAGCCAGAATCTAAACTACAGTTGAAGATGCCTGATAAGATGAAAGAAGAAAATAATTACCTAAAGCATTGCTGACTTGGACAAGTAAGTCTACATATGCTGATGATGCTGAATACAGAAAATATACCAGCCTTTGCAACCTAGAAATTACATTGTTAACATTATTTAGACGGAAAACAAACAAGAAATGCAATATCCAAAGATGGAACCACTAGATCAAGGAAATACTTGAATTCATACATGCCAACTCATGTGGTCCTGTACCAATTGCATCCTTATCATGTAAAAAATACTTTCTTCTCTTTATTAATGACTATTTTCGAAAAATTTGAATTTATTTTCTTCAAGAGAAGAAATAAACCTCTGGAAATTTCATAGACTTCAAAGCTATGATAGAAAGACAAATGGAAAACTTATCAAAGGTTTGAAAATCAATAATAGAGGAGAATTTATATTTCAAGACTTTTCAAATTATTGTACAAGAAATAGTATCATTTGATAATTCATATTGCCTTACACACCCCAACAAAATGAAGTAGTGGAAAGAAGAAATAGATCAATATTGGCCATTATCAATTATTATAAGAATAGGCAAACAAATTAGAGTACCATGATGGATGAAAAACCACTTTGCAAGATTGATGATGATATCAAACCTAGAACCAACCACTTATCATGAAGATACTCTTCATTAAGAATGGAAATAGGCCATGATAGAAGAAATATTCTCAATATACAAAATTAAAACTTAGACCAGTATAAATCTACCTTCAAATCAATTTGCTATCTCAACTAAATGGATATATAATGTGAAACTGAATAATAATGGCTTACTTCAAAAATACAAAGCTTGATTGATTGTAAGAAGCTTTGAACAAAAAGAAGGCATTGACTATGAAGAAACTTTTGCACCAATAGTAAGATGGGCCATTATCAAAGTCATGACTTCAATTGCAAGACAAATTAATTAGAAACTATATCATATGGATGTTAAAATTACATTTCTTCATGAGGATTTAAAAGAAAAAGTAAATGTTATTTTAGCCTCAAGGATTTGAAATTCTTTGCAAAGAAAATATGGTTTGTAAACTAAAATAGACACTATATGGACTGAAATAAGTGCCTCAGGCATTGTTCAAAAAATAGACTTTTATTTAAAAGAAGCAAGGTTTTAACAAGGAATAGGTGATCATAACTTATAGTCAAGATTATCTAATTACGAACTAATTCTTATTGTATTATATGTTGATGATCTTATGATTGATAGTTGCATAGGGAACATGACCAAATTTCAAAAAGAATTACATGATCATTTCAAAATGTCTAAACTATCAATAGGTGAAGTTATACTCTATCTTAAAGCCAAATGCATTCACATAAAGAAAGAAATTTTTATGACACAAAAGGCCTATGCACACAATATATTAGTTATTTTTGGCATAAAAAATTATATACTTGCAATTACTCCAATCGATGAAAAACTAAAGCTCATGGTTGATATAAAAGAAGAAGAGGTGCATTCAATACAATATTATAGCATAGTTGGCAAATGCCTCTATTTAATCCACATTCGTTTAAATATTCAATTTGCCAAAAGAGTTGTCAATAAATTTATGCCAGGACCTCAAAAATCACACCTATTGGCAGCAAAAAAGATTCTATGTTACATCAAGTACACTTAAGATTATGAAATTTTATATAAAGAGAACAATCAAAATCATATTACTAAATAAATAGATTCCAACTAGGTTGGAAATATGGAACAAGCATGCTCCATCACAAGTATTGTATTCAATATTGTTAATATACCTAGGGTTACAAAAATAAATGAATCATCTGATTCTTATTTCACCGAGCTCAAGCACAGCATCAGTGGAATTTCTTTTCTCAAATCAACTTCCACCTCCACTTGACGATCCCATGAAAGACGACTCGCCTTCCTCCTTTACAGTCCCAAGGTCACTCCTGCGACCGGCAAACAACCTGATGGTCTCCAAGAGTTTCTCCTCATTTCCTGGCTTCAGCGCCACAACCTCTGCCTCATACCCTGCCGATGCAGATCCCATACCTACGAAACCACCGAGACAATAAGCCATATGCTGATCCCTACATGCCCAATCTGCTCAACCATCATGTGAATGACTAGGATTCATTTCACCTACGAAAATAAACTCCATCTTGGACCAAAGCAATCACCCTCAATTGAAGGTAGTGATACCAAACATGTGAAAAAAAGAGCGAAATCCTCACCCATTTGGACAGATACAATTCGCCAGGAGGATAAGAATCGTCAATGTTTCTTCTTCCACTCACGATCTCTAAACACAGCACTCCAAAGCTGTAAACGTCCACCTTGTAACTCAATCGACCACACGACGCATATTCTGGTGCCAAGTATCCCCTGTGGACATATTCAACCCACTTCTACTTCAGAAGTAGGGCACAAACATGGATCTTCACAACTTCCAGTAACTACTGAGCCGGAACTTCACAACTTGAACTAACTACTGAGCTTACTTGGTACCAGCAACATGCTTGGTCACTATACAACTCTGTTCATCAGGAAAAAGCAACGCCAAGCCGAAGTCTGCTATCCTGGTGTCGTAGTTCTTGGTTAGTAAGATGTTGCTGGCTTTGATGTCTCGATGGATGATCCTCGGATGTGCAAGTGCATGGAGGTAATGTAGACCGCGGGCCACTCCCAAGACGATCTTCCATCGCACAGGCCAGCTCAAGTCGGCCTTGTTTGCACCCCCTTCACCAACGAAATCGTGGCAACATAAGGTGAAAAGGGTGATAATTATCGATTAAATACAACCACATTTCAACTGGTTTGAGGTTGTTCATGAACAAGAGCAAGTGTGAGAGTAATCCAAAAAGAATCAAGAATAAGTGATTGGAGTGTTTTCAGTGACGAATTGAACAACTGTCACAAACGATGTGACAGATAAAAGTTCCCACGTTGAGCGTTCATCTCACCTAGAAGAACCTAGTCAACGTCATGGTTGTCAACATACTCGTACACCAACAATCTTTGTTGTTCACGAATGCAACACCCTTTCCGATTCACAAGGTTCCTGTACTTCATTCCTGTCAACAAAACTACCTCATTCAGAAATTCGTCTAAACCCTTGGAAGTCTTTTGGGGGAATAGTAGTTTCACAGCCATGAAATTTCCATTCGGCAAAATCCCCTGCGAAAAGTCGCACAGATGGTGTCATTTAGTCGAAATCTTCGATGTAATTAATTGGAAACAAATTCCACTATCTTCTACTTACTACCATCCATGTGGCACACAGACAGTAGATCTGCATGGTTTTCGGCAGAAAAGTAGACGTCTTGATCTGCAATATTTCATCTACTTTGTTCACATTTTACCTTGTACACTCTCCCAAAGGCTCCCTCGCCCAACTTCAAGTCGGGATGGAAGTCGCGTGTGGCAGTTCAGAGCTGGCTGTGGGTGAATATAGTTGGCTTCACCTCAAACTCTTCAAACTCTGGAGCGATTACAAACTTCAGTACTTTTGTAAACAACTGTTACAGCTGCACTTGATTTTGAAAATGAATCAGCCATGAACTACAACTATCATGCCAAATTTGATATTATGAACTCCCAGAAGTGCAGATCAAGTTCTTACTTTGTTGGACCAGAAGCTGATATTGCTTGAGCTTTTTGTGCCTATGAAATAGAATAGCCAGACCGATCATTAGGATCAGTGATGAGGTTACACTGACCACCACAGCGATTATCGTAACCTTGCGTTTGCTTTCTTGCATTGGAACTGGAACAAGATGACGAACTCTCATAAGCACGGTTGATTATAAAAAACATGAGAATGACATGTTCTTTCGAATTCATGGGAGAGGACCGATACCTGAGTTGAAGCAAGTTTGTGCACAGAAACATCTCCTTCCGTCATCAGACTATGGATCCTTGCAGAAGGGATTCCTTTGCAGTCTGCACAACCCAATATGACGATTTGGTAACCAATCTTACCTATGAATTGAGTTGCAGTTATACGATTTCCTCCACAGACTTGTTATCATGATAAGTACACAGCTACTCAGAGTAAACGGATCATCGGCACCTTCCAGCTACCATCGATCGACAAGCTGATCAATTAGTGCTCGTTTCCTTGCTTATCAGGAGGGATTTCCATCAATCGCAAGGGCATGCTCACCTGATAACTGTGGCGATATCATCGATACACTTTGCGTCAAAGACCACATTGCTAATGCTGTTGTTCACCAATGAAAGTACTGTCAACGTGCTTGAATTTGCTGTCGAGTTTTTAGACAAAAGCAAGTCCAGGTGATACAGTCGACTGATGTTCAGTGTTGCATCCATGCGAATGTTGTCGAGATACCTGTAACGCATTGTATCTTGTGAGGCGACTTCCATAGAATTGCAACATTTTGATGACTGCATTGCGCAAATTCTAAATCTTTAATACAACCTGATAAAAATATACTGGGTAATGAAATGTATTTTAAGCATGAAAAAGGACGTATATAACACGGCGTCCGGTTAAATCGTCTACACTCTAAATTTTGGTAATTTCAAACTTGATAAAATGAGCTTACAGCTCCTGGAGCGAGCCAAGTTCGTCGCGGCTCCAGAACTTTTGATCGAGTGTCACTGGATTGTGCGATATATCCAACACTGAAAGGCTGTTGTTTTCAGTTCTGTTGAATTACGACGAAATCAGAAACGATCCTGTAAATCCACTCCTGCTCAAATTCCTGTGGAAGACATTAATGCAGGAATCCGAGAGCACTTCGTCCTCTGTTGCTCAAAAATATAAGATACATCGGGTTTCACCTGAGCCTGATTAATGATGATATTATCAATCTCCTGCAAGATACATTGTGCTAAATCCTGTTGTATATTTCCATGGCAATCCCTGCTGCAAGTGTTAGCCAATGTGAGGAATGCAACTAAGGAACTGACGTGCGTGGTTACAACTTTCCCGTTACAACGTTGACAAGCTGGCAACATAATCGCAGAGTTATGCTTAGGCTTGTAAGGTACTACACACACATCCTGGGCATCCGTGACTCACACAGTGTGTAAGGAATATATCATTGTCAGGTTTGGCAGCGCTCCGTTAAATTTGTTGCTTGACAAGTCCCTGTCAATCCAGAGACACAACAATAGTGAGAGATTAGAGCGACTTGGACTAAAACGGGTTACAGGAGTTGAAGCTACCACAACAAACCATTCACCGATCTTCTACCCCAAATATACAGCTTTTGCTGCACTCGGACGGTGTACTGCCAAACTCTAAAACCTTTCGAGACTAGTACGTTTAGATTGCCGGAAGAGACTAGTAGACTAAGTTACACGAATTACTGGACTGAGAACTGGAATCTCTAATTTCAGATGTTAGAAATTCGGATTCTTACAGTTCGAAAAGCTCTGTCATGTTTTCAAACGCTCGTTCTGGCACCGGCCCCTTAAAACGATTTCTGCCGAGTCTTAGTGTTTGGAGGAACTTCATCTGACCAATTTGAGGAAACGGGAAGGACCCATTGAACTTGTTGCCGCTTAAGTCCCTGTTGAAGTGGCAATGCGTTTTTTGAGTTGACCACAGTCTTTCTGCTGGAATTATTTGAGAAATAAAAACAACAAACCAAGGTTTGGCACACTACTCTATAAAAAAGCTTACAATGTCACGAGAAAGTCTAATTGAACCCCGTACTCAGGGAATTCACCCTCCAACGCATTGTCGTGAACATCCCTGGGAATTAGGAGCAGTAAAACAACTTTCAGTGTTTGCATCAGCAACATGTGGTTACTGGATCATATCTGAATCAAAACCACATCTCATATATTAATTGCATAATGGTATCTAACTCAAATACTATGGCAAACTTTAGATGCATAATTTGGTCGCGAGTGACTAGAACTGCACATCAGAATTCGAGTATTACAAAATGCTAAGTTAAGTCTGATTCAATGTCCCTGGAAGAGGTCCAGTGAGATTTGGATTTCCTGTCAGCTCCCTGCAGCACAGGACCCACCTGTTAGTGTCTTCGTCCTACAGTTGTCCCTAAACCTTTGCCCTGGCTAATTATGTAACCACACATTCACATGAGGAAGTGGGACTGCTTACCTTGTTGCTGATAGAAATATACAGTGGTATTCAGTCAGTTGGAGGTGGGCTGTGTGCCCAACAACATGATGAGAGATGCGAAGAAGCAAGATTGGTGGCATGGTGAGGAATGGCATGGTGAGGATTGGCATGGTGAGGAAGGACATATTGAGGAACGGCATGGTGAGGAATGGCATCGTTAGGAACAACATGGTGAGGAACAACATGGTGGGGAATCACATAGTGAGGAAGGGCATGGTGAGGAATGGCATGGTGAGGAATGGTTTGGTGAGGAATGGCATGGTGAAGAATGGTATGGTGAGGATTGGCTAGGTGAGGATTGGCTAGGTGAGGAATGGCATTGTGAAGAAGGACATGGTGAGGAATGGCATGGTGAGGAATGGTACGGTGAGAAACGGCATGGTGAGAAATGGCATGGTGAGGAAGGGCATGGTGAGGAACGACATAGTGAGGAATGGCATGGTGAGGAAGGACATATTGAGGAACGGCATGGTGAGGAACAACATGGTGGGGAATCACATAGTGAGGAAGGGCATGGTGAAGAAAGGCATGGTGAGGAATGGCATGGTGAGGAAGGACATGGTGAAGAAAGGCATGGTGAGGAAGGACATGGTGAAGAATGGTTTGGTGAGGAATGGCATGGTGAAGAATGGTATGGTGAGGATTGGCAAGGTGAGGAATGGCATTGTGAAGAAGGACATGGTGAGGAATGGCATGGTGAGGAATGGTACGGTGAGAAACGGCATGGTGAGAAATGGCATGGTGAGGAAGGGCATGGTGAGGAAGGGCATGGTGAGGAATGGCATAGTGAGGAAGGACATATTGAGGAACGGCATGGTGAGGAATGGCATGGTTAGGAACAACATGGTGAGGAAAGGCATGGTGAGGAATGGCATGGTGAGGAAGGGCATAGTGAGAAATGGCATGGAGAGGAATGGCATGGTGAGGAAGGACATGGTGAGGAATGGTTTGGTGAGGAATGGCATGGTGAAGAATGGTATGGTGAGGATTGGCAAGGTGAGGAATGGCATTGTGAAGAAGGACATGGTGAGGAATGGCATGGTGAGGAATGGTACGGTGAGAAACGGCATGGTGAGAAATGGCATGGTGAAGAAGGGCATGGTGAGGAAGGGCATGGTGAGGAACGGCATAGTGAGGAATGGCATGGTGAGGAAGGACATATTGAGGAACGGCATGGTGAGGAATGGCATGGTTAGGAACAACATGGTGAGGAACAGCATGGTGGGGAATCACATAGTGAGGAAGAGCATGGTGAGGAAGAGCATGGTGAGGAAAGGCATGGTGAGGAATGGCATGGTGAGGAAGAGCACGGTGAGGAAAGGCATGGTGAGGAATGGCATGGTGAGGAAGAGCACGGTGAGGAATGGCATGGTGAGGATCGGCATGGTGAAGAATGGTATGGTGAGGATTGGCATGGTGAAGAACAGTGTGATGAGGAACGGAATAGTGGAGAATGGCATGGTGAGGAAGGATAGATTAGGAATGGCATGATAAAGAATGGCATGGTGAGGAAGGGCATGGTGAGGAATGGCATGGTAAGGAAGGGCATAGTGAGAAATGGCATGGAGAGGAATGGCATGGTGAGGAAGGACATGGTGAGGAATGGTTTGGTGAGGAATGGCATGGTGAAGAATGGTATGGTGAGGATTGGCAAGGTGAGGAATGGCATTGTAAAGAAGGACATGGTGAGGAATGGCATGGTGAGGAAGAGCACGGTGAGGAAAGGCATGGTGAGGAATGGCACGGTGAGGAATGGCATGGTGAGGATCGGCATGGTGAAGAATGGTATGGTGAGGATTGGCATGGTGAAGAACAGTGTGATGAGGAACGGAATAGTGGAGAATGGCATGGTGAGGAAGGATAGATTAGGAATGGCATGATAAAGAATGGCATGGTGAGGAAGGGCATGGTGAAGAATGGCATGGTAAGGAAGGGCATAGTGAGAAATGGCATGGAGAGGAATGGCATGGTGAGGAAGGACATGGTGAGGAATGGCTTGGTGAGGAATGGCATGGTGAAGAATGGCATGGTGAGGATTGGCATGGTGAGGAATGGCATTGTGAAGAATGACATGGTGAGGAATGGCATGGTGAGGAATGGCATGGTGAGGAAGGGCATGGTGAGGAACGGCATGGTGAAGAATGGCATGGTGAGGAAGGACATATTGAGGAACGGCATGGTGAAGAATGGCATGGTTACGAACAACATGGTGAGGAACAACATGGTGAGGAACAACATGGTGAGGAACAACATGGTGAGGAACAACATGGTGGAGAATCACATAGTGAGGAAGGGCATGGTGAGGAATGGCATGGTGAGGAAGAGCACGGTGAGGAAAGGCATGGTGAGGAATGGCATGGTGAGGAAGAGCACGGTGAGGAATGGCATGGTGAGGATCGGCATGGTGAAGAATGGTATGGTGAGGATTGGCATGGTGAAGAACAATGTGGTGAGGAACGGAATAGTGGAGAATGGCATGGTGAGGAAGGATAGATTAGGAATGGCATGATAAAGAATGGCATGGTGAGGAAGGGCATGGTGAGGAATGGCATGGTGAGGAAGGGCATAGTGAGAAATGGCATGGAGAGGAATGGCATGGTGAAGAAGGACATAGTGAGGATCGGCATGGTGAAGAATGGCATAGTAAGGATTGGCATGGTGAAGAAGGATTTGGTGAGGAATGGCAGGGTGAAGACTTGCATGGTGAAGAAGGATTTGGTGAGGAATGGCAGGGTGAAGACTTGCAAGGTGAAGATTGTTATGGTGAGGAGTGGCATGGTGAGGAAGGGCATTGTGAGGAATGGTATGGTGAGGAATGGCATGGTGAGGAAGTGCATGGTGAGGAAGGGCATAGTGAGAAATGGCATGGAGAGGAATGGCATGGTGAAGAAGGACATAGTGAGGATCGGCATGGTGAAGAATGGCATAGTAAGGATTGGCATGGTGAAGAAGGATTTGGTGAGGAATGGCAGGGTGAAGACTTGCAAGGTGAAGATTGTTATGGTGAGGAGTGGCATGGTGAGGAAGGGCATTGTGAGGAATGGTATGGTGAGGAATGGCATGGTGAGGAAGTGCATGGTGAAGAATGGCATGGTGAGGAAGTGCATGGTGAAGAATGGCATGATGAGGAATGGCATGGTGAAGAATTGCATGGTGAGGAATGGCATGATGAGGAATGGCATGGTGAGTCTCAGGCTCAGGAGAGTCTCAAGCTCAGGCTCAGGCGAGTCTCAGGCTCACCAGCGTTCCTTGGGCTGTTTGGGCTGTTCGTTCGTTGGTGTGTTAGTTCGTTCGTTGGTTAGTTGGTTGGTTCATTCATTCGTTCGTTGGTTCATTCATTCGTTCGTTGGTTCATTCATTCGTTCGTTTGTGTGTTGGTTCGTTCGTTCGGTTGTGGCCTTGCCTGCCCTGCCTGGCGAGAGAGAGGAACTCTCACTGTGCTCCTCCTCCACCACCACCTCGCTGTTTCCCCTTCTTCACCTTCAATTCCACCCTCCCCCCCTCCCTACTCTGTCTCTCCACTCTCGCTTGACCCCTCTCGCTCTTTCACTCTCTCTCTGTTAGCTCTTCGCTCTCTCTCTTGCTCTGTGTGTGTGTGTGGATTCTATGCTCATTTCGGCACTACCCACCTCGGCATTGCCTTACTTTTCCTTTTCTCTCTCTCTCGAGTCTGTCGTCATGTGCAGCGGTTTTCGGACCTTGGGGGGTGAAGAAGGGGTTGGTCTGGTGTCGTTGGGCGCCTGCGATTCGAGTGGATTGCGAATTTGGATCGTGTGAGTGGTGGGTTTGTGAATTTGGGTAGTTTAAGGAGAGGAGTGGGATCTGGGCAGACTTGTGAGGTTTTGCGAAAGGTGCGAGCCGTGATGGGTGCCGCTTGTGAAGGTGGAGCGGTTCTGTCGCGGGTTGCGTAGTTGGCTGGAGGAGCTGGGGAGCTTATCCGAGGTAATTGGCTGTTGTTGAGTGGGTTTGCAGATTTTCTAGTTTTGTGCGTGCTTTGGCCTGTTTGGCCTGTTTAGCAGACTTTAAACCTAGGGTTTGGTATACTCTCCATTCGAATTTTTTTTTTCATGTGTTTTTTCTTTTTTTTTCTTTTTTTCTTTTTTGCTTTTGTAGTGTCAACATTTTTGACGTACTGCTGCGTCATACGTCGTGGTTGGATTGCGTCCCTTGTGTCATCGTGTGCCTATTCCTTTTGGATGGGTTACAGTCATAGTCATAGTTTTTTTTTTTTTTTTTTTTTTTTTTTTTCTGGCTTCATGAAGTAATCATCTGATTAAGATATTCATGCTTTTCTGTTATAATGCTCGATCATCGGTGTCAGTCAAGCTCTAACCCATGAAAGAGAAAAAAAATAGAACTTTGCTGTTTACCGAGTGGATTGTTTAGATTCGAAGTGGAAGTGATAATTTTCCATTCGCATGTAGCATAAGCCACATTCGACTAGTTCAAAAGTATTTGGATGATGAAGTAATCGTTCGTTGTGCAGCGAATGCGAGCTAAGCGTCAGTCATGCAGTTCTGTGGTAGTTTCTGGGAGACAGCATTATAATTCCGCATTATTTTACGCGTAGTATACGTCACACAATTACCAGGGCGATGTTCAAGCTCATGATTGTAAACACGGATTATCTTAAATTATTTCTGGGTCTCGAAGGACAACCGCTGAGTCTGCTGTCGGCGGTAAAGTTAACATAATTCCGACATTCCATCGTTTCCTTTTTCAGATTGGGAAGTGATGAAACACGCTACATAGTAGTGTTGGAGAAAAGGTGCAAATAGAAGTGACATAGTAGAGCATTGAGCTTTGAAATCGATCGCATCATGAGCACCACTAATTCAGAGTCCGAGGTCCAGAGGTCGTATGAGGACGACGAGAGGAAGGAAAATGGATACTCATACGAGGAGAATGGGAACAAGTCCGAGAATGGAACTCCAGCATCCTGGCGTGCATCAGGCAAACCTGGAAAATCCTTGCAGAACCTTCTCACGCTCTCTTTTCCTATTTCAAGAGTACGCAGACTTGCGAAGAGCGAGGGTGACATCCAGTGGGTGGGTGTAGAAGCTGGCTTTCTCATTGCCAAAGCCACTGTAAGTATTATTGCGATTCATCAAACATTCCTGTAGCATAAAATTTAGCCATCCTGTAGTCTTTTAGTTATTGTTGGCAATCACAGAGTTTGAGTGCAGGCAGTGTAAGCACTTTTTCAAATTTTTTGCAAAGTCTTGCAATATGAAATACGCCTTGGTTGTGATGGTGTAAGACAATATTTTTTCTTTTCCTTTTTTTATCCTGGGGTTCAGGAGCTTTTCTTGGAGAAGCTTGTTGAAGATGCGTTCGGTAGGATGCGAGACAACCGGCAGGCATCAATTCTTTATCCCCATTTATGTGCGTAGGAGTTTCTCCTCCATGGTTGAAATTTCCTTGAATTGTTTGTTTCTCCATGAGGTCGCTGAAATACTCGACTTGCACTCCGATCAATCATCGTAACATAACATGTTCATAATTCATTGAAGTAGGAAATCATGAATTCAGATTGTAGAGCTTTCTCTTCAACCTTGCTGGCGAACCTTGTAATTTACTCTTTTTCTGATGCTTTGTTGATCAGCATCTCATATTGCAAGCTCGGAGAGACTGGAATTTCTTTCAGGTCAGCTTTTTGGGTTTCTGGGGTTTCCTACTCTTCACTGTCCAAGTTTCAATCGTCGTCGCATGAACATGTAGTGTCCTACCGGAAGCCATGGCCCAATTAGTCAATACCTTCACTTCTACATTTTCAGGCAATCCTTGGAAAAATCAATTGGCGGGACATATCCGTGGTCTCTCATCAACTCTTTGTTTCGTTTATTTATAACCTATTTTAAACCTGCTTATGTTTGAATCTGTGTATATCATATGTAGCATTTGCTGTCTTTGGTCATCTTGTTTTCAGAAATAAACTCTAGTTGTAGAACTCCTCAGCCTTGTTATCAACTCTCCAAGTAATTTGGCACATTGAACCCGTTTTCCTTGTGAGAAAATTGCTCATAGAGGGCTTGCTTGTTGGGTATAATGTGCAGATATTGTGCCCGTGAGGATTCCAGCTGCAACTGCTCTTCAAAATGCTTCAATGGCGGACAAGTAGGTCAATCAATACGTGGCAGTTATGTGATCGGTATGGAAGTTAAGTTGTAGGGAAATCATGTATCAGTGGAGATACATGTGGATTGTGAACCAAGGCTTTACTTGGACGGTCATGGGTTGTGAAGGGCTAGAAAACAAAGTCTTGAGCGGAGGGCACGTGGAGGTTAGCGTCTGTATTCTTTTGATTTTAGCAGGTCATTAGGATTAGCTTCAATGCAAGAAAGTTTGATTTGGTAAGCATTCCTATTTAACTTGGCAGTTTATGACTTAGGGGCGTCTCATCTAAAGTAGAAAATTCCAATTTGAGGTCTTTGTGGATAGTTTTGTACACGTTCTTTTAAGAAAGAATTCGTGCATTTCAAGCCGCATTCATGCTTTTTTCGATCCATTATCCTTAACCGGATCCACACCTTAGTGAATGCTAAAGAATTTCTAAGTTTGCTTGGTGTTGTTCAAGAACATTGGGTGGATTCCTCATGCCATTCTAAAAGCTTACACGTTGCTCAGTTGTAAACTTGGCTACTTTGGTTTTTTATTTCAAACGTGGTGAAGGGAGGAGCATAGTATCTATTGTTGGGAACCTAACATGTGTCAAACTTGAGGAACTTGTGAGTTTATGTTACGGTGGCTTACAAGAACTGTTGTGCTTAACCAAATAATATCATAAAGTTAGCAGTTATCCAATTCTCATAGTATCAATGCAGTGATAGTATTATTTTTGCTGTCATGCTACTCTCTGTGGTTCGTCAATGGTTCAAAATAAATCTCATCAAATTGGGATTGTTTTACGTAAGGGCATATGATACTAATACTCAAGGTTTACCAAATTTTAAGTTGACTTGGAGCTATTTTAATGGCAAACTTTTCTTCACATCGAATTTGCCTCAACTTTTGAGCAGAATGTTTTTGTGAAATTGTTTTTGTGATACGTGAACAAGTAGTTTTTTGAAAGTACTAATTGTTATTTTTCAAAATACATCAACTTCTTGAACTTTGTGATATCCATGAAATTATTCATTTTATTCATACATCACAGATGTTATTTCAACTCTGAATAGAAAAAATCATATATGTGACAAGTCTATGAATATTTAGTGCTGAATAGGTTTCTAATGAATTTTTTATACGGAAGTACATTAAAGATTAAATTTGAATATGAATAAATCAAATCAAGTGTAAATTTATACTCTTTATGAGTTCATAAGAATCCTTTTTAACATTACAATCTATTTTATAGCATGCTTTTCAACTTTCTTCTATAATTTACCAATAATTCAAAAATGTTCGTTTTTTATATTTTATCTAAGTTACAAATAGTTTTCTTTTTCTTCCATAAGGAAATAGTTTATTCAATTAAAACCTTATCTTGATGCTTTATGTGATATTTTGATACAACCGTCAAAATGTTTGAAAGTCTCTATCATAAATGAAAAAATACCACAAAATGTATGTGATATATATATCATTTTGCATCACATTTTTCATTATCACATGTATATGTGACAAAATGAAAAAATATCATACTTTGATAAAATTGTTGAAATGTTTTATAGTCTTTGTTACAAATAAAGACTTCTTATACATCTCAGATAATAGAAACTTTAATTAGAATAAATTCAATATCAAAATATTCTAATTATAATTTCTATTATTTGAGATAAATATCAAAATCCTTTTCAACCTTAAAATTGATTTTCATAAAATAACAATAATAATAATAATAATAATAATTAGTTTGTTTTTATGTTATATGTTTTGGCTTTATTGAGAATGTTTAGAAAGACATAAGAGTAATAGTAAGTCATACACACACACAAGAGTAGTATTAAGTCATACACACAAGAGAGTTTCTAAGGAGAAAGACCTTCACATCCAAAAATCTATTGATCTGATTGTATCTCATATATAAGAAGAAAAAAGAAGAGAGGATAAACAATACTTCTCCACTAGACTCTAAATACTATAGCTATAGTATTTACTGTAGTCTACAATAAATATTATAGAGAGCGCCGGCTACATTTAATGATCTCAACATTCCTCCTCGCTCATCATAATATTTACATAATATAAAATTTATATAGAATCATGATCTATACTTTTCTGTGATCTTGCAAGATCAACAATTGTTGCCTCATTAAAACCTTATCTAGAAAAACCTTATTTCATTTAAGGGCAAAACCATAGATGAAGGAAAAAGAGTAAAACATCATTTTCTTTAATTATTTAAAGAGCTCATTAACTTTCTTATTCAAGAAAAGCAAGTCGCCGCATACCAATGCCATAAGTAAGTCGACAATGGTTGCTTAATGGGAGAGCTTTGGTGAAGAGATCAACAAGGTTATTTGTAGATTCAATTTCCTTAATTATAAGTGCTTGATCAGTAATCAAGTCATGAGTATAACTAAAATACTTTGGATCAATATGCTTTATCTTGTTGCCTTTAATGAAACCAACTTGTATCTGTGCAATACAAGCACTATTATCTTCATGCAAGATAGTTGGAGAATCATCATATGAAAATCCATAGGTTGTTTGAATGAATTTATCAATTGATCGCAACCAAATACATTCTCGAGATGCTTCATGTAAGGTAATAATTTCTGCATGGTTGGATGAAGTTGCAGTTATTATTTGTTTCACTAATTTCTATGATATTGCAGCTCCATATCTTAAGAATACATATCCTATTTGAGATTTAGTTGTTGCAATATCAGATTTATATCCTGCATCACAATATCCAACCAATTTTGGATCTGCGGATTGTGTGTAGTATAATCCTAAGTCTTCAGTACCTTTTAAATAACGTAATAAATATTTGATGCTATTCCAATGTTGTAGTGTTGAACGTGCACTATGTCTTGCAACAACACTAACTGCAAATGCAATATCTGGTCTTATAGATGTAGCTAAATACAAAAGTGCTCCAACCGCTGTGAGGTATGGATATTGATCTTCTAATATTTCCTCTTCTTCCTTGCAGGGACGGTATGGATCATGACCATCACAACCACATCCAACTATTGGTGTGGACAATGGATAAGCATCAATCATATTAAATCTTTGCAAGATTCGTCTAATATATGTTAGTTGGTAGAGAAAAATGCTACCATCTGTTAGATGCATAATCTGAAGACTAATGTAGAAAGTTATTTTTCCTAGCATTTTCATCTCAAATTCGCGTATAAGTAGGTTTGTAGCTATAACACATGTAGATGTAGTACCCACTAGGTTAAGATCATCAATATATATAGCAATGATCACAAAACCAATTTTATCTCGTTTGATAAAGATTAATAAACAAACAAGGGATCACTTATAAAATTATTTGTAATTAAATAATTTCAAAGACGTTGATACCACATTCGTCCAGATTTTTTTAAACCATACAAGGCCTTACATAATTTAATACCATGATATTTTCCTGGAGCGGGTTCATTTCGAGTTCATGTTTCTAAGTTAGGTAGAACTTTTATATAACTATTTGCATCAAGAGAACCATATAGATATATAGTTACTACATCCATCAGATGCATCTCAAAGGTGGCATGAACTGTCATTCCAATAATATATCGAAATATAATTGAATCCATGATTGGAGAATATGTGGATTCATAATCAATGCCAAATCGTTGAGTAAATCTTTGAGCAACAAGATGAGCTTTATAGCGGATTATTTGGCCTTAAGCATCTCGCTTGCATATTAATACCATTTTATATCCCTCAGGGCGAGATGTAAGAGTGTCTACAATTCGACCAAAGACTTTCCTCTTATGCAAAGAGGCATACTCCTCCTCAATAGCAGTTTTTCATTTTGACCAATCTGAGCGATGCATCGCCTCTTCGATGGTTTGAGGTTCAGGATTGTCTTCTTTGCAAGAAAGGGCTTCTATAATCATGTATGCAAATGATTCATCTATCGTAATAGATGGTCTGTTCCAAATATTATTTGTAGTACAATACAGAATAGATAATTCTTTAGTCAACTTCTCTTAATCCTTCCAATTCCAAGATTGTTTTTCATAGGAATTTAAGGTACATTATGCATGAATATATCATCATGAATTGGTAGTCCTGCATGATGAGTGGCAATTTCTTGAGAAATAATACAAGGATTAGTTAATTTTATAGCTTTCTTCTTACGTGGTTGCTTATCTGGTCCACGAGTTCTTTTAGTTGTTGTTATAACTTGAGATATTGTAGTCAACGGCACTACAATCTGAGTAGGTGCATTCCAAGCCTCATTAATAGGAACTCTTGTAATTCTAGATACATCATTGAAGCCATGAGATATTTCATCCGCAATCTGTTTTAAATGAAAAATCTTAACAACTTCAGTTTCTGCCAAAGATGTCATAGGATCGGGATTCATTGTAAATGTTTCTGGTGCTTCAAATATGAGTACTTTATTTCTTTGTTGATTGGATACTCCTCCTTCAAGAGATGGGAATACAGTTTCTTCAAAATAGTAATTTTACAAACGTGCACATAATAATGTGACAGTTGATGGATCAACAATATGAATAATGCTTGGTGAATCAAAACCAACATATATGCCTTTTTGTCGATGAACTCCAATGGTATGCCATTGAGGTTCTGGTATTGGAATCCAAGCATGGCAACCAAATATTCGTAAGTGAGATATATTTGGAATACGATCCAAAATGAGCTCATGTAGTGAAACAATTTCAAGAAAAGAAGGGCGGAGGCGTATTAATACTACAGCATGTAAAACTGCATGATCCCACATAGATGCAAGTAGATTTGCATGAAGGAGGAGTGGCCAGATAATGAGTTGTATACGCTTTATAAATGACTCTGCAAGTCCATTTTGATCATGTTCATATGAAACACAATATGTCAACTCGATTCCTATTGCAGTACAATAGTCTTCAAAAGACTTTGATGTGAATTCTTTTGCATTATCCATATACAATGTTTTTATAGGATAATCAGGAAAATATGCCCGAAAGCAAACAAGCATAGATATAAGATTGGCAAACACCATGTTTCGAGTTGATAATGATGAAACATGTGATTGTTTACTTGATGCATGAATAAGGGCCAAAAAATAACGAAATGGTCGTGATATTGGATTAATAGGACCACAAATATAACTATGCAATCTTTTAAGCATTGGTGGTAATACTTGTAGAAGTTTTAAAATTGAAGGCCGAGTAATCATTTTACCTTGCATGCATGCACGACATAATTCCATAGAGTCTATATCTGTAGGCTTTAAATTATGCCCAATTATACATGTAATGATCTTTCTAAATAATGTGGATCTTGGATGTCCCAATCGTCCATGCTAGAGAGAAACACAACTCTCTGAGATAGATGATACAAAATTAAATATAATGGGAGGCCGAATCACAATTCGGTATAAATCATTTTTTGTAGCAAAAGCTTTTTCAACAACTTTATGGTTCTTTGCAAGAACCAAAATCTCTTTTCTATTTAAAGTGGCAGTCAAGAGGTGATAGCCATTAATACGCACATCTGGTAGCTGATCAGACTTTGAGGTACTGAGGGTATAAATATCGAATGTTTACATTTTATGATGGAATCCACATGTAATTTTACCATCATTGTGCCATCTTGGAAGCAAAACGCATTTGCTCCAGCCATGGTCATCATATTTTTAGTTTGCCAAGTTCAAGATTTTTTAATAAAAAATCGTCTATCTTGCAAGATAGTATGTATTGTTCCAAAATCAATGAATGCATCATTTGATTCATCATCAGAGGTTCTATCATTCATATAAGCCTTTAAGTCATCAACACCAATTGAATCCATGGAGGCATCTATGGTATGAACTTCACAAGCCTCAACTCGTAATTTCTTATTTTCTTGGAACATTTTAATAAAATATTCTGAAGTACGGCAAGCATGTGCTAAATGTCCAATCATTCCACACTTATAGCAAGAATGCATCTCTGATTTTTATTTTCTACTATAATTAATAATAGAACGTTTACTCTTTCCATATGGATAGAAATGGTCTTGACTATGACTACCTTGATACTTATGAGCACGTTTCCCATGTTTATATAATTTCTTCTTAGACTTTGAAATATTATTAAAAGCATTTAAATTTGGAAAATTCAAGACACATAAATGTGTCCAATTATGACGTGCATGTGGAAAAAAAATGGTCTTTTGATGATCAAACTTAGATTTAAGATTCTTCCAAAGTTTTACAGGGTCTTCCATTTCCAAATATTGATGTTGTAATGCAGGTATAAGATGACGACGAAGGAGAAGAAGTGCTTTCCAACAAATAGCAGGACATATAGAAATACTTGTTGTAGGAGATTCTTCAAACATAATGGCATCCGAGAGTTGTTTTGCAAATAAATTTGCTTTCATCATTTTTGTCCATAATAGATAATTGTTTCCATCCATAGTCAATGGTGGAAATAAAAGAGCTTGAAAATGTTGGGATGCACTGATAATAGTTGGAAACATAGTAGAAACAATTGAAGATGTTGAAGCACTCATTATAAATAAATCTGTAAAGAAAATACAAGATCAAGTAGAAAAGTTGAGTAAAACATACCTTAAAATATAAAGTCAAAAAAATGATAAACTTAAACTTGAAAAAATAAAAAAATAAATATTTTTTATTATATATATTTTTTTAAGGAGATTGTAGATTAAAGGAGCAGAACAACAATAAGATGGCACAGCAAGCAGCGATAGGGCAGCAAGGTGCCAGCGGCAGTCAACGGCGGACAGCAACGGCAGGCGGTGGCGGGCAATGGTAGATGGCAGCAGGGGGCGGTGGTAGTCATTGGCAGGCAATATTGGGTGGCAGCGGCAATGGCAATGATGTTAAGGCAGTGACGGCGATGGACGACAACATCAATGGCAAGAGGGTGGCAACGACGGTAGTGGCGGGTTTGACGGTAGCAAGAAGAAGGGGCGGGACGCAGCAGGGAGCAGGGAGCAAGTTGGGGTGGAGTTGGGCTAGATTAAGTATTCTAAGTAAGCATGGCAGAGAGTGGAACAAGTGCTCTAAGCAAGCTAATGTGTGAGGGGCCAGTAAGAAGAACAAGATCATGAGGCAGACATTGAGCAAGGATAGCAATATGTTTGAAGAGTCAAAGACTAGAGCAAAAAATTGTGATAGTGTGTAGAAGAGAGTCGTGCTGATAATGTATTGAGAATATTTAGAAAGACACAAGAATAATAGTAAGTCATACATACGCACAAGAATAGTAGTAAGTCATACACACAAGAAGGTTTCTAAGGAGAAAGAACTTCACATCCAAAAATCTATTGATCTGGTTGTGTTTCGTATATAAGAAGAGAAAAGAGGAGAGAATAAATAGTAATTCTTCACTAGACTAAATACTATAGCTATGGTATTTATTGTAGTCTATAATTAATATTATGGAAAGCACTAGCTACATTTAATGATCTCAACAGGCTTAAGTATTCAAATATCAATGAACTCTGCCTAGAAATATAATTCACACTCTACCAACTGAGCTAAGATGGCTTTACGTACGGGTCAAAGCACATAAAATAGTTATATTCATAAGATTGCATTCTAGAAAGTTTATTGTAACTTTTTTTATTTTTTATTTATTAATTTTTTCAATCTCCATAATTTTTGGAACGAATTTACTAATTAATAGTACTTACTTGATTAAGAGTAAAGTATATAAGACATAGAGTAAAATATCCTTTACTTGACAAAGACATATATTTTTAAAGGTTTGGGGAAATTGAATATTATTACTTTGATAACTAACAAAGAAACTTGTAGTCTTAAGTTTTGGGAATTTAAAATTTATGATCAATGAGTTTAGTCAGTTTCATTTCTTTGGCATAGTAAACAAATATTTACTTCTAATTGACACAAAAATGAAACTATCGAAATCAGGTTCTGTTTTTATCTTGACACGTCTATCCTATATGTACATCTTTAATATAAATAACTGGATTTTAGTTTAGAATATATCTTTGTAAGAACTAAAAAAAAGAAGAAAAAAGACAAAAAAAAAAGGGGGAAAAAACTGCTTTGTGTTATATGATACTAACTTGTAATGTAAAAATTTATTATTTTACCTATTGCGATCATTAAAAATATCTATATTTATATATATATATATATATATATTTAAAACCAATCTTAATTGTTAAATGGGTTACAGTAAAAGCATATCTTCTTTTATACAAATCTAATAAATATGGTCATTTTTACTTAGTTTATTTCATGATTGGTACATTAAAAGCTTCTTCATGTAAACGGCCCGCATTCTTTGGATCCCATATTGCACCAACTGCAGAATTCTTATCCCACTTGAATAGTTGCAAGCTCAGAAAGCTGATATTCTTAGTTTTGCCCTCTTTATAAAGTACCCAAATGTTAGTGTGAAGAATAATCAAGGCTTCAGGGGGTGGCATTCATCAAGACTGTGTTGTGGTTCTAAAACAGCCTTCCGCGGTCACTCCACCCTAACAACAAACTTTCGGTTATGATAAGTTTGTGAACTGTTTCCCAACATGATAGGGTCACATGCCTTACCATGAAACGAGTCGGTGACGTCCACGGATTCTTCGTGTACGAGTGTAAGATCTAATCTTCATTCTACAACGAGAACACAACAGTGAAAGGCATCAAGACCCAGTATCTACACCCATACACATAACATTGGATTTCAATACCTTAGATGGACTGAGAGTAGATCGAGGCGAGAAAATACTATTGTTGGTCCAACGTCAGCTCATAAATACGTTGAAGAGGAGAAAAGGACGGAACGAGGAAATGAAATCAACGTTGAACCGCAAGTCTGCTTGAATGAGCCCTGTGTGAATTAGAAGGAAAACCTTACATATGTTGGATATCCATGCCTTCTGTATCAAATATGATGACCATTTCAGTTACATTCTTCTATACATTTGCCTTGCTTGGAGCTGATCTCCTGATGCTCTAAAGCTGGACTTCTTCAGATTCTCAGTCCGCCGCTACAAATATGGACATTTCACTTGCGTAAGGTACTCTCTACCCTAATCTTATTTTCAATGCACGAAAAGTACTTCGTGTGAAGAGAAACTACGCGAGATGGTGTAAACTCGTGCCCAAAAGGCAGAAACTTAAGTCTCTTCGAGATAAAGAGTAAAGATGTCGTTAGCAGGGGCCATTGATCCTCACCGCAGGCTCTCCAGGGCAGTTATCACAAAGAAGAACCCAGGAGATACTGTCAACAGCAGGCGTCAGACGAGGAAGCTGATCAGGTTCATGGGATCCAAAGAATGCGGCACTCTTCCTAAGAAGGTGGAGAATCCACGACACGACCGTAAGGAGAGGTCCAACTTCTTGCCTCCTCCCCTTCATTTCTGTAGTTCTCTGAAAGACATTTAGATAGCAATGTCAACAACTTATTAAAGTCCTCACCATCCAAGAGTTCCCATTCGTAGAGAACGGAGGTCTTTCTCTGACACCCGCTAATGTTGAAACTTTAAACACCAGCACATTGGCTCGATCGAAATCTTTCGGGTAAGAGGAGCTGCACAATAAGATCCTCTAACCTGCGAGCACCGGGTCCAGGTCTTAGTACAGAGTAATCCCCTCGAACTGAACACGGATTATTGTGTGAACCCACACACCAGCCGCCAGGACTGAACCCGTCCCTAGTCCGATTGAGAAGCTCGGCGTCAATTTTGTTCAGTACTGGATCGTCCTTGTCGAATTTCCGGGCGAACGGCGCTCCGCTCGTTGTCATAGCTTCAAAGAAATTCACGGTGAGGGATATGGGGTGTTGCTTGGGTGGGGTATCCCAAGCAATGAAGTGAAGGTCGTGGTTTACAGTTGTGTTACGAAACTCCTCGCTATTGCAAATCACAGTGTGGAAGTAGCCTTCAGGTGATGACACAAAATTTGCGTAGTACATAAGGACTGTGCGTGGAAGGTTATCCCAGCCCATGATGGTATGTTCCATAAAGGCGCGAGATAGTGCGATCCATGCTGATCCTATTTTTTAAAATAACAGAAAAAGTCATTGTCAGCTTGTTGCTTGGAAACATGGTGAGATACTAATTTTGGGAACATACTCTAGCTCACAGCTGGTGAGACATGCCAATGATCCAGTATGTCCATGCAAAGCTACTTAAATACTCAGTCTATGACCTTGAGGTCGTCATTGGGCACCCCTCCTCTCCAGTAACAAGCATCATAGCTTAATAAAGGGTCCTTCACACCAAATTAACAGCTCTCTACACTCGCATTTAAGAACGATTTCTTAGATGTGCTCATTTCATTCCTAAATGTAAGATATGGTCCTCGAATGTTACGTAACTATTGCCTCTATTCCAGACCTCGAGGAGAAGAGAATCTTGAACTCTGGAAGGAGTATTTACCTGTAAACAAACGAAATGCAGTAGGCACAGCTCGCTTCTCTGTCACCCAATAGACGTCGGTTTTCGTGTTCTGATACAGTGCCGGATCGATGATGATGGGCTTCACCCGCTGCTCCCTGCCATTCACGTTCTCGCTTTTTAGATTCATAAAATGTGAGCATGTTTAAAATTTGTAACACGAAATTGATCATTTCATCAATACTGGAATTACTACCCAGAGAACAACCCAATCGAACACATACACAACTAAGCGCCACAGCGACAATATAAGTAAACGTAACAAATTTCGTACACGTTATGTAATTCCACAAATCTTACAAAAATTCCTTCCAAATCAAATCAACCAAAAAGGCTTTTCTTTCTTTCTTATAAGGTCACAAATATAAACGTTTAGCTTACTCTTTCCAGCCCAAGTCATTTGTGTGCTCAAGGAAATTCAGGTCCTTCGGTAAGTAGGAGAAAACGTGAAGCAGATCTGTGCTCATAAAGTGGACACATTGTATCAGATCATTTCAGCATCAACTTTAAGGCAGAGCACTTACAGTATTATCAACGCGGCTGAATTCCAATTCATTCTCCTCAGGGTGATGTTATTTGTTTTACAATTGACAAAACCGATGGGCAGACAACAATGCCAAAACACCAGTTATGGGAATGCTAACTCAGGGAAGTTCAAGTTCAGGCTCACCGTCTTGAGTAAGAAGAGGATAATCGGAAGCACTTAAATTAATAAACCAATCCCAATCCTTGGCTTTCTTGAGCAAAATAGCAGCCCCATGTAACGTCGCAGCAATCATGGTCGATCCTTTGTATGTCACCAAATTAGGCTTCGCAACCATATAGACGTTCCCCGCCTCTTGAAACACCTGCTCATGCTTCACGTACCGATCCAAATTCTTGCGCTCATCCTCTGACGATTCACGGTCCAAATGCAGAAGGTAGTAATTATGTGGGTGGTACAGCGCTTGCAGCATCCGTTGCATTCGAAGGCCGTCCCCACCGGCACCCAAGATCAAGTAAGCGAGCTTGGGAGGGGGTGTCAGTCCAGTCATCTGGGCCTCATTGGCAATCTCTCGCACGTTTTGGGCCTTGCCACAGCCTACTGTGCTAGCTTCAATTCTTGAGTGGTAGCCACAGTATCCCAGATGGAGAGTCGCAAGAAGAAGAAGCACAATTGAGAGTATAACACTGGCCAACAAGGGTGACGACCCCTTGCGATCCACGGCGGCCAAAAGAAGCGGTATCTGCATCAACTTCTTCATGCCATCCCTAGCTTTCTGCGACGTTTGAGACAGACGACTCCGGATGGGAAAGTGAACACAAGAGAACATCGTCTCTTGTCGTTGTTTTCTAGTCCTCTCCTTAACGCTATTACCTCCTTCTTTTTGGGACACCCATAGGCCCTACTGGACAAGCACTCTACGAAAAGACTTCAAAGATTCCTCACCTTAGGTAGAAGCACCGTAAAATCCTTGAATCAATGCTTGAGTGCAGCTAGAGTTCGACAAAAGTGAACATCCCAAGTGAATAAAGTCACTAAAAAAATCTGCGTCGCTAGTTGCGAGATCGTACAACCAACATTGAAAAGTGATAGTTGAGAGGGAATATATGACAAGATGTAATTGACAAGGACTCTGCAACTATCCCAGGTACCAGTAGTCGCCTCAAAGCTTGCATACCCAGTGATCGCAATCTATAAAGACTAAGGTGTAGCTGTAACAAATTCAAGCCTCGCTGTGTGAATAAGTAATGCCTCAAAGAAACTTCATTTCACCCCATACATGATAGACAGCGACCCCTAATCAATGCAATAGTCTCCAGCCAGGTGTCTAGAATCCACAGGAGGTTGGAAAGAGAAGGAAAAACTTGGTTGGTTAGGGCTGAATGCGCGTTGAGAGCGGTTAGCAGATGGCTTCGCAGAGGCGATTTCGGGGCAGGTACCTCAAAAGATTCTGCGTAAACATCGCCGTCCATAACAATCATTGATTTTCTTCTGCCCTGTAGAATGGAGTAGGCCCGAAGTGTGTTGTCACTTTTTTTTTTTTTTTTTTTTTTTTTTTTGTGAGGTCAATCCTTGCTTCGCATGATCCCAACTAAAAACTCTGTGACGAAGAACCTGGCAACCCTCACCTCATACCTACTACCTCCAATCTGCCCGCCACAATCACCAACTCCAGATCAAGACATATGTGTATTGTATTCCAAGGAACTAAAACCCCGCATGTGAACAGTTCCGTCGGGCACTCACAGCTGCGGAATATACGCGATCAACACTAAAAATGGTATGAAACTGGGATCTCTGTGATCGAGCCAAGACTAAATCAAGTCAGCAAGGTAACTGATCGGAAAAGAAACATTCCAGCCCACGCGGTTTCATCGTGATAGCCGGCATGGATGCGATGAATACCATCTCCTTCGAATGGATCACATACGCAGATGGTATTCATCGCATCCATCGAAGCTTCGAATGGATCACATACGCAGTTCTTCTCTTTTCACTTCCTTCTCGAAAGACCATGATCGAGACCCAATTCCTCGGGCTGATGTTCAAGTTGGGTTCCGACCCTATGCAACCGGACTTGGACAAGAGCTTTTCTGCCCTCATTGGATAAAAACCTTGCCAATCCCCACCCATTTGATTGGGGTTCTTGGCTTCTTTTTAGAGTTTCGACACGCTACAAGCATGTATTCATTGGTTGCCGAATTCATCCCAGTCACCAGTGACAGATTGCAAGTGCTTTAAAGCACAACCATGACCTAAACTGTCTGAACAGGCAATCGGCATCAAAATTTGTTCTCCTTCATCAAACAAAGGAAAAACACTATCGATAATTCTGGTGGTCAACAAGGTGCCTGTAAAATATGATTTCTACTGTACTTATTCTTCCAAAGATTAGAATTAAAGACAACGGAAGTGTCGTACGTCACTGAAGTAAATGGTCGGATGCGTACAAGATATTGGCAACAGCAACCACCACAGAGTACTCATTTCATTCACCACCCTGATTTGGGTTACTTCGGGGAAGATGCTTCTTCTGGGCTTCTCTCCATATTATGAACTATCGAATCCAAAACAGATAAAACATTCTACAATTTCTGAACGAGGCGGCCGCTTCGCTACCAAAGATGGCATCTCATAACCACGTCGTCGCGCAAGCACTACTCCAGTTGCTTTTGCACTCCGGCTTCAGCAAGGAATACGTGGCGAAGCACATCACCTCATAAAGAAAGCATGACCCCGCTGGGTAGCAAACATTTCACTTGTATGGTCAAACAGAAACCAGGAAACAAGTGGAGTACTCCCTTGCCTACGCACAACGTGACTCCCGCTGTCTAAAATCATCGAACCAACACATTTCTTTAGCTCCTCAACTCCTGTGCGTCTACAGCACGACGACACACGTTCGGCCAAAGACAAATGAATAGTTCTTCCATCTCCACTCAACGGGTTCAGAAATAGAGAAATCGTTGATGACCGATACAGCTCCTGATCTAATCCTCACAAAAAAGTTACAACCTTGGAGGCTTAAATTGCCCGTTTGGAGCCACAACAAGAGCAACTGTTGTCATCCGACGAGATTGGCCGCTGCAATTCCAGGTTCTTCAGCTCACAGATGGGGAGCCTATGGATTCAATGAATGCGTCGCAGGAAGAGAATATTGGAATCGGCGAGTGTAGGATCACAATCTCTCCCTCCCTGTCCCTGAAGCTCTGCAATCGATCCGCGCTCTACCTCCGCCGCAATGCGAGGCCTTCATGGACATGGTGATTTCGTAGAGAATAGTCGCCGTTCAGAAGTCGCTCAACAAGAGTGATTGTCCGGAAGTCGCCAACCATCAGTTGCCGTCCGTTGGAAAGAATTGTAGTTGACCTGTTGAGGTGGAGAACTTTGAAAGAAGAAAAGTAAATTATGGTAAACAAATCGAACTTTACGTAAAAACATATTTTGGATTTTCGTATATTTTTTAATATATATATATATATATATATATATATATCGATTACTACTTAAATTATCGTTTGGCATTTGATTTTAAAATTTTAAAATTTTAAATTCATTCTCAAATAACGTATTTAAATAATAAATTAAGCTCACTGTTCTGATTCATTATTAAATGAATTATCATCACAATGACAAATGTTGCCATGTAGTTATTACTTTATTTTTATTTTTTTATCTGTATGACATTAGAATTTTTGGAATTTTTTTAAATAATTTCATGATGTTAATAAATAAATATATTTATTAATAGTAGAGAGGATATTTGCAACTTATTATTTATCAATAAGTGTAAGTATTGGGAATATCAGAACAATTATCCAATCCATACAAACAAATGATTATTTACGTAGTGCATAAAAAAATAAAAAATAAAAAATCTGTAAATCTGGAAGAGAAATTATCATGTAAAATAAGCTCCAAGCATCCTAATATGTAAATTGCTTTTAAAACTACCATGTTAGAAACTAAAATAATTACAAAACTTTTAAGCAAAACTTACTTGCTAGCTATATACTTATGTTAATACATCTTCAACAATATCAGTTTGATTTTCTTCATTACTTCATTAATACATTAAGCTATTCAAATTGAATTGATAGTCCATCATCTTACTTTATATGTATTTTTTTGATGCTTTTTAAACAAAGAAATGCCATAAAGAAATCAATTTTTATATTGAGATACAAAATAGATTTTTTTTTTAAATGACCCATATTTTTGTCTAATCAACCCATCTATCATCACAAAAACATACAAGTACATTATCATCACTCTTATCCACAATAATGGTTTTTTAAAAATGGATATAGTATAATAATGGACACCTTATTGGTAGCAGCGACTAATTATGAGTGGCTATATTTAATGGTTACTTTCCTTTGTCCTACATTGTTACAACTATATCTTTTTATGTATTTAAGTTGTTTGTTGCTTACTTTGCATTGTGATATTGTGTTTAGTATTTCATGTAGGGCACTGTAATTTTTTTTAAAATAAATACTTCTTCTTCTTCTTCTTCTTTTCTTTTTTTTTAATCTTATGATGGTTATTAACAATGAAGATATGACCACACAATAACATCAAAAAGAACCACTCAAAGATTAGGCAAGATTAGGAAGCGTGGAGAGAAGATTGAATCATGACTTTTCTTCACCTCCCTTTTGAATACAAACATAGGATTTCTTTATGGGACAACGGCCATGATTGATCTTTGGATTAAGATTAATATAAAAATTAATGCGGATGGTTTTCATTGGTTGTGGATCCAATAGTAGAGAATAAAATCTAGAGGTCATTTTTTTTTCATGATGGTTAGGTTGAGTGGGTCAATTTCACAAAAGCTTGGGCATTTTAAAATTTTCCATAATATAAATTAAAATTTATTAATAAAATGAAAAAATAAAATTTATAAATTATATGATAAGAAGATGATAAAAATAAAAATAAATCTAAATATTGGTAAGATAAAGGATGGCACCAATCTCACAGACTCCATCGAAATGTACAATTCATCTACGATCAAATCCATCCACAGTTAATCCATCCAAAGCCGTGGGTTTTGGATAAATGCACACGTGCTGCAATGTCGGTATTCCTACGATGTGGGCCTCGACGGCGAGGTTTCGAAATCCACGAATCATTTTCCACGAGGGAAGTGCATGGCGATGGATCGCAAGGCCCCAAAAGAGGACCAGGAAGAGGAGGAGCACGAAATCGAACCCCTTCATGTGGATTCATGCCTTCATGGCGTAACACTCCCAGCTGTGGCGACTGGAGATCCGATCCTTCGGGAGATGAAGCTCCGATCGCGACTTCGCCAGAGCCGCTGCAACTTCCCGGACGGATTGCAGCCGTCCGTTGTGTACCTCTGACGACGCTGAGCCCGGGTTTGATCGGTTTCTGAAAACTGGGGTTGTGTAGAGAGCAACGAGAACAACATACCACCATAAGAATTTCGCGGTGCGCGACAGTCGATGGTGAATGTATGCATGCAGACGGTTTTGTGGACGTGTCTTGGACGACTGTGTGCGGTAGGCTCTCTTGTGAAGTTAGACTGTGCCATGTCAATGCTTCGTTGGTGAATTCAAGCCAGATCAACAGTGTTTTTGGAATTCCTTTCTACTGGTACTACGTTGTCTGAAAAAGTGACGTGAGTCCACGTGATTCATCAGAGCTTGTCGATAGCTAAGCCTGTTCACTGCAACTAATCTTTTCCATATCCGTTTTCTACATCCAATAAAGCTTGTACCATTTTAGATTCAGAATGTTGTAACATTCATACGGGTAGACCTATGACCTTGGCTTTGTCTACATTATCCAGATCGTGATTAGTATCCGTCCTCGATCCCTGTGCATCAGAAGCAACCTGGTTAGAAGCGCCCGCACCCTACTTTGTGCCGTATCAAAGTGTGTCACTCAATGTTGAGCCTGGGCAAAATAATGTGAACTAGGTCAGAAGTTGGGTACTTCGAAAGAGCTGCATGAGTTTGGCCCGATCTTTGCATAGTCCTTATGACAGTCGATGATTGCTGAACTCAATCCTGGGCTATGTAGTTTGCGATTTCTCGAACTACTCGGGTTCACAACCCACTACAGGGTATGTAAAACACTCTATTTCTTGTACAGTATACGTGAATAAGGTATTGACTGAAGAGAGTTAGATTGACAATGGCGGTTGAATAAGTGGCGAGTTTTCACGAATTCATAAAACAAACATGTCGATGGTTAAAAGAAGGGTGATACACGTGGAAAGTCATCGTTTTCGACGTCATGGCTGATGAGTTGATGAGCTTACTGTGGTCCTGCAGGCTCAGATTTCTTATCCGCTAATTGCGATGGGATGTAT